CGGTGTCGGGCACTACATCTACATTCATCTTTGATTTTTCCTCCTTTAACTTCTTTTGGTGATTTACCTTTTTGACTTGTTTGTTGATTAGTTTTTGTGTTGGTTTTATCTTGGACGGTTTCTCTTCCTCGTCTTCGTCGGGTATGATGGTGTCTGTCAGTTTTGATGCTATTAGTCCTCCTATTGACCCTCCCTTTGCTGTTCCTCCTGCTGTGGCGACTGCTTTGATGACTGGTTTGGATGATTTAAGGAAGTTCTTTAAGATGCTTCTACTGCTTGAAGGCGGTTCTTCGTCTTCTTGTATCCCTGCCGATGCTGTTGCTCCAACGGCGTCGTATGTTCCTTTGTTTGCCATATAGTGGTCTTGTGAATGACTTAAATTTGCCTGTTCTGCTACTCTCCTTTCGTTCTCTTCCCTCAACTCTGCCTCTCTGTCAAAGGACATCTCAAAGTCGCTGATGGCGTCGTCCCTCAAGTCGGTCATATCTTCAAAGTCAAGGTTGGGTGTTTCTTCTTCCTTCCTTGCGGTCGCTTCCTCTGCCATCTTTTTGAAGTTCATTTGCTGTAAGTCTGCTGGGTGGATGTTGTTTGTGTTCAGTGCTTGACCCTGCGGACTTTCGTGAAAATACCAAGCGTTCCTATCAAAGATTTTTCTGATGTCATTGGTTTTGAACTTTTCCCTGTCTATTTCCTTGATGAGTTCTGCGTAAGTGGGTATTCGTGTCAATCCCTGTTTTGCGTTGATTACTTCTGCTGTCATTGCTATATATTAATACTTTAGATTTTTATATTAATCTTGTGTATCGCCTCTCAACCACTGCTTATACTCATCAATTCTCTGTTTCATATTCTGGACGTTCGCCCCGTAATCTTCCAATCTGTGATTTTTCCTCACCTCCCTCAACCTTGTCATTTCGTTCTGTAGCATCTCATTCTCTTCCTTCATCCTCTGCTTTACTTGTAAGACCTTGTAGTCGTGCTCGGTGTTGTGATATTCAAGAAGACGCTTTAGGTAAAGATGATGGTTGTGAGTTGGCATCCTTGCCGTGTTGCTGTCGTTGTGGTAGTAGTGGTCATAACTACTATACACTTTTTTCTTCTGTCTGGCATTTCGGGCGTTCCGCTCCTGTAGTTGGCACTTTTGTTTGAATGGACGGTTTGTCTTCTGTTGATGTCCTTGCGGACGTTTTCGTAGATGTCAGTTTTGTTGAGTTCCGTTTTCTGTTCCTTGATGTTCATTTTTATATATAATACTTTACAAAATTTTTGATGCTAAAGATTTCAATTTCTCTCTCGTCGCTATGTTCTTTTCCTCTTTGGCTTTGTTGTAGGTGTCTCTGGCGGTCATTGCACTCTGTAGTTCTTCCTTCAGTTGCTTTACAAGGTCGTTTTTGAATGCTTCTGGGTCAAAAGGTGGTTTCGCCCTTGACGGTCTTACCCTTTTGGGCTTTGGGACTACCGTTGCTTGTTGCGGTTTCTCTTGAACTGGTGTTTCAATTATTTCTTCTGGTTTCTCCTCTTCCTTCGGTGCTTCTTCCTGTATTGGTTCTGGTATTGTTTCTTCCTTTGGTTCTTCATTATCAATCTCTTTTACGACTACCTCTGTCATATATTAATATTATAGATATTTTTTTTTATACTTTCAAAATCTCGTGCCTCAAATACGGTTTGTTCAATCCTTCCAGTTTGAAGGTTCTGTTTCCGACGTCGTCGTATTCTATCTTGACGATTTTGTAGGATTGATTGCTCCACTTTGAGTTATACTCCTTCCTCTCGGTGTAGTTGTCTTTTTTCTTCTCAAAGACCTTGACCATATCATTCACTTTGACCTCTGGATATTTGCGAGTGTTCTTTTCCCTCCTTGTCAAATTCACCCTGACGTCCATATGGTTCTTGTCGTCGTGGGCATCCTTGGGTTTCATTTTTGTAGATGAATGGACGGTGTCGTTGTATTTATCCAACGCTTTGGACAACATCACAGTCCAACTACCACGATTAAACCTCACCCTGTCGTGTATCATATTCTTCATTGTCCTTATGAAAAGCTCCACAACATTGGCGTGAGTTAGGGTGACAACGTGAGTGATGCCTTCTTTCTCAAAGAACTCTTTTACCCCTGCTTGGAAGGCACGGTCATTATCACTATAAACGGACATTGGAAAACCCATTTTGTTGAAACTCTCTTTCATCGCCGACAATGTGATTGGTCCGGATTTTTCTTTCATAGGGACGACGTTTGCCAACTTGCTGAAGATGTCAATGACCACCAACCCATATCTCGGTTCGTCGTTCTTGATGGGAATTTTCGTCTCTGGTTCTTTGGTAAGGGGTTTCATATCCATTATGTCAATCTGATATTCAAACCTTGCGAAGGGTGCGGTGTAGGAGTTTGACCCCCTGTATTTTCTAATCTGTTTGTTGGGCTGTTTCCTCATAAAGTTTTCCACATCCACCCTGTTGATGGTCTGGTCTTGCTCCTTGGCTTTCTTAAGGGTCTCATTGATTGAACCGAAGCCCGTTTCAAGATTATAATAGACATTGCTTATGATGTCATCTCTTGATAGTCTCCTTGCCATATATTATAATATTAGATTTTTTAAAATTATCAACAATAAAAAATATACTTAAAGAAAAAATACCTATATATAGTAAGACTAAATAAGATGACTAAATTTGACTGTGGATGTCGTATAATGACAGATGTTATAACCCTGAACGATAGAAACCAACCTAATTGGAACTACTTGCTCCAAACCTTCGTGAATGTTTGTGGCAAGTGCTACAAGAAGCAAATGAAATTCCAATATATGGAAAACAAACTTATGGAGATGGAAAAGCAACGAATGGAAATGTTTTTGGAAAATGAGGATGAAGAGGAAGACACATACTTTGACCTGACAGAGTTGAAGGAACATCTCAAAACCCTCCCACCCAATGAAAGACACAAAGTGAAGGATTTTGAGAGGTTAAGAAACCTCGCCAATGGACAAGACCCCAACGAAGGAATGAGTGAAATAGATATGGTCATAAGAGAACTGGAAGAGGAGGAAAGGGAAAATAAAAACCAACCCGAACCCGAAAACTGAACGAGCCCCCAAAAACTACTTAAAGAAAAAATGACTATATACAGTAAGAGGATGCTATTTACTTATAAAAACTGTGGATGTTGTAAAAAAGAAATGACTGACATTAAGGTTTTATTGAACAACATTTTTCCTGCTGGAATTTGTGATGAGATATGTGATTACAACCTTCACTGTTCAAAATGTAAAGAGTTGAATGATAAGGAACGCAGATATATAACATTCAACTATCATTTCGACCATTTTGAAGAGAAAGAACTAACAAGAGTTGAAAAACAAATACATTTCTTTAAAACAAGGATGGAAAAATCACCTATCTATTTATCCAACACCGACCGAACAAATTTAAGAGTAATGAAGAGAGAAATAGATGCTTTATTGGACACCTATAAACTGAAGGTAGAATTTCAAAAGGATAAGATATATCTTCAAGCGATTAAGTCTTATGTCAAAAACCATTGGAAATACACTTATCATATTCTAAAGAACTTTCACGACCTTAATTTCATCAGTTACAGTAAGCAACGAAGATGCTGGTGGTTTCCTAATGTTGAACGAACTTTTATGTTTAGAAACAGGGAGTTCAAGATAAAAGACATTTTGGAAATTTTCTTGCGTGAATATGTTGAAGAACTGTTCAACGGTTATGAGAAATATTTGAACATAGAAGAAATAAAAGAGCACCTACAAAAAGTGATAAATACTTAAAGAAAAAATATCTATATATAGTAAGAGAAAATGAGTAGAGCAAAAATTGAGGTTATAGATACAGGGAATATTGGTATATATGCTGACTTTGGTAGTGATAGTGAGGACGATGATTGGGAAAGAAAACAAATAGAAAAAGAAGATGAAGAGAGTAGAGACTTTGTAAAGTGCCATCCTATGCCTTCACCAGATGATGAGGAAGGAGAAAAGTTTTGGAAGAAAGTAATTGATAGGATGAGAGAAGCAGAAGGAGTAAATGGAATGATAATATATTCATTCGTAAGATTTGATATAATGAAAAAGATGTATGAAAACCTCACTGATAAAAAAGTCATCATTGATTGTGGAAAGGAACTCAACCGAGATGGAGAATTCAACGCTATGATTATCAACCTAACGCTTTTATCAATAGCAATGGATGAACTAAATGATACAAACAAACCTTGCTTAACACAAATGAGAGTGATTGAACACTGGTGGGATGGAATAGGAAAGTGGAAAGCATAAATGATTAATTCATAATATCTTAACAACACATATTATGAAGTAATCACCCACCCAAACACAAACAAAAACCCCAACAGCCTAAACAAATCCTACCCCCCTTCAATCCAAACATTGACACATCACTTTAGCAACAAAATTACCCCCAAAACCCCACCTGAAAAAACATCAAAGGCGAAGATGAAACATTGAACCCCAACACAAAATCATAACAAGCAACATACAAACATATACGCCCTGAAACCCCCATTTTTCCATTTTTTTCTGGGGCATTTATCAACTTGCTTTCCCCATCTTTCCCCAGACACAGGTCAAAATTTATTGATTCATGGATGCCAGACTCTTTTTTTGGACGGCCATTTGGCAACAACATAATGACATAATACAGGTTTAATACAGGTTTCAAGGTCAACCCAATTTTTGAGTTCTGATGAGAGATGGATTTTTTTGGCACAAGGTCGCAAGCTGCATAAGACTAGTGCTTGTATATATAAGATATTTAAAATGACTGAGGAATGCAGGTATAATTAGTCGGCATTGCAGTTGATTGTGGTACCGTGCTTGTCCCCGAAAAGTCCTTCGAAACAGAAAAATCAGGAGCCTCTCTGTTGGAGCAAAGCCAAAAATTGTGATTGCCCTCCTGTTTTTTTCAAGAGCGATTCATTCACATGCCCTCAGATCCCTCAGTTGAGTGCTGTTGCCTAAAAGGACTTTGGAGAGTTGCTGGCTTCCCTCCAAACAAAGATGAAGGAGCTGAAGGCAGCAAACAACTTTCTTTCTCAAATATATTTCGTTCGCAAAGGTATTGTACGTGGCACACTTCGTTCTCTACCCCTTATGTACATGATATATGAATATGTACATGCGTGGCATTCCACTACATCAGATTGCATCACATTAGATTATATACATAAATACAGATATATATATATATATATATATTATTTGCGGCCACGCTCTGGACACCAGCCCGAGCACCACCTCTGTCTCCAAGAGGGTATCCGACCCTGAAACCAAAGTTAAGCATTATAGCATTTTAGCAATAATATAGATATATTGTATATAGACTTTCTCTCTTTTGATTTTGATCTCTATTTTTCTATCTATCTATATATCTTTCTATCTAATCTATCCATATATATATCTATCTATCTATCTATCTATCTATCTTTCTTTCTTTCTTTCTTTTTTTTTTCTCTCTCTCTCTCTCTCTTTCTCTTGGTTTCGTCCAGTCTGCACCCTTCAGGTGGATAGAGCTGAAACTGCAGCCTTGATGTCCCATTCTCAAGGCGCCTTGATGAATTCTGATAGATCAAAGAACTGGAAAGCATTGGGTTGTTAGCCTCTATGGCGACTGCTATGCACGATTTCATTTCATTACGTAGTTCTAAGCTGCTTTAGGTTGAGCAGGACCATGAGTTGTGTGTCTCTCATTGACACAGCACTACATCCTATTTAAACACTCTGCATGACATTCATGCGCTAGGACTCAATGGTGCTCCAGAGGACGGGATTGGGTTTTGGACCGTGATGTTCCATCAACATGTTTTCAGAGAAGCCTCGTCACTTAAAGCGCAATACGGACTCTCTACATCTCTTTACCACGTCTTTACATCTTGGATTGCAAGTAGCAACGACACATGCCAGGACTGCCAAGATGTACCTGAGAAGAGGCAGCTCGCTTGGCATTAAGTTTGCCGCATGTTGTGCTTTGATTCATTTAGATTCCATGGATCTAAAAAGATCTCTGGATATCTTACTAGTATGTAGAAAGTAGTACATTCAAACATGTTGGCATTATGTCCGCCGGTGTCTCGCTCGAAGCATTGCAACATGCGATAGGAAGGCGTCAGAGACTGCAGAGACTGCAGCAGACCAGGCGGGGAGAGCAAGATTTTGTCAATCTTTCCAAATCCTTCCATCGCCATTCCGTTGCCACACAAGGCCCGAGTCCCACAAGCTTTTCTTATTCTTTGAATTTCTTTGATATTCTTTGAGTCCTTTGAGAACTCCCAGAATTGCGTGGACCTGTTGCACCTTTGACGTTGGTGGACCTCTCAGGCCTTGAGATCACCAGTTCCGGGAGAAAGCCGATCTGGACAGGCACTACTGGAACTTCTCTTGCTGGTGGTACCTTGAATTTGGAGAGTAGTTGTGCAAGGGCATGGACTTCACAAGATGTGCAAGCACTTTGCATCAAGTTTTCAAGATTTGTTTACAATCCTTGCCGGTTACGCAAACGTCCAAGCAAACCTGAGGTTCAATGGGTCACCAACAACCCACGGCATAAGTTTGAGTTAAGGAGTGTGCGAGGAAAGTTGACGAACCTGGGAAAAAATATTGGTGCTCTCAGAGGTGTCTTTGTTTCCAAAGTGTCTATCTCTTTCCTGATGTCAAGAGCAGTAAATGTAAATGCAACCAGCATGTTCGACAGTACTAGTCGATGTGACATGCTGCCTTGTAATTTCGATGCAGGCGCACTCCGACCAGAAGTTGGTGGCTGTCGTTGGAAGCTTTCAGGCGCAGTTCTTTTCAGCCTTGACCCACCTTGCGCAGAATCTGACACCTTACTTTCCCTTTCCTCTCTCAGCTTGGTTGAATATGTTGGAAGCCTGTTTGGACAAATCAATAGAATTTGAGTCAGATTTTCCAAACTGAGAGCATTTGGGAGCAATCAGCAAGATCGCCAGTGTCTTGAATTCCGTTGACGACTTAGCATAGCTACAACTCGGCCATGTCTGCGGAACCTTTGGCGATTGAAGCAATTGGAGCAGGAAAGAACGAAGATGTCCGCGAAGTGGCACCAACGCGGGGAGTCTCCTTCTGGGGAACTGTGGTCACGATGCTCAACGTCTTCGTTGGAGGTGGAAGTGTAGTATTGCCTTATGCCTTTCGATTGTCGGGATGGCTCTTTGTTCCAGTGCTCCTTGCTGTGGGGCTGCTCATGGGCTTCACCCTTTGGATCATGGGCTTTCTGCTGCAGTCTCTGGATAGCCGTGCAGATGAAATGGGCCTGCCACGCTCGCAGCGAGATTGGGGCTTCATTGGATATATTGCCTTTGGCAATGTTGGCCGCTTGCTCTTTGCTGGCTGCATGTTCTTTGACCTGGCAGGTGGAGCCTTGGTCTTAATGAGCATCGTCATTGAACAGCTGCCTTTCCTCTTACCCATTAGACACTCTGCGACTGCCGTGCTTTCTTGCATTCTGGCTATTTTGTTCTGCTTACTCCCGAAGAAAGCTTTCTCGTGGATGGCCGTGGTTGGCATGGCTTCTCAGCTCTTTTTGGTGCTGGGCCTCGTGATCACAGGAGTCCAACTCCATTCCTCGCATGAGATCGCCACCGACCAAGTGGTCTTGGACCTGTCGGGTCTGCCACGTGGCTGTGGAATTGCTCTTCTTTGCTTTCTTGCACACAGCGAAGCTCCCTTGATTTATCAACTGATGGAAGACAAACGACAATGGACAAAAGTTGTGGTCTACAGCATGACTCTCACAGAAGCCTTTCTATTGGCATTTGGGGTTTTGGGCTACGGCTTTTTTGGCACTAACGTAGCGCAATCCATCGCCGATAACATTGGCCGAGATTTGGATCTGCAGCTTTTGCCCAATGCTTTGAGTGCATTCTTGGGGGCTGCAACCATCCTGGGTCTCTCCTCAAAGCAGCTGGTAACTCTGCCTCTGCTGCTGGATGCAACCACAGACTTGTTTGGGGATCGCTTGAGGTGGCGTGGCCAATTTGTCATGAAGACAGTTATTTTGATTCTCTCTACTATTCTGTGCCTGGTGCTCAAGAATGCAGTTGCCTTTATCGGTGACCTTGTTGGTATTCTCCCAGCAAATTGTGTATGTGTTGTCTTCCCATGCATTGCCTTCTTAAAGCTGCATGGAGAAAACATGCCCCGATGGAAACGTGGCGGGGTGCTTTTCCTTGCAATCCTCTTTGGCTTGTACAGTGTCTATGGACTGATCGAAACTGTTCGCCAGCAAGTTGCCATGTAAAGAATTTGCAGGCGGGTCTTGATCATTTCTGAGAGGTTGCTCACCACAGTTTCATGTACATTGTAGTTTATTGTAAACCTAAATCTTAATCCTGCATGTGTCTTGGGCCTTGTTCCGGGCTGAAGGAATTCATCGAAAGTTAAGACCAACAATAGACTTGGAAACAGCCGAAGATTGCCAACGATTGGCTAAGCAGATAAGTATAAAGCTGCGTGGCCAAAAGGTGGCTTCTGACTTTGGCGGATTGGGGGTGATTGGGATGACAAATCAACAAATGCCTGCCAATGAACATTTCGTGCGAGCAATAAGACAGCTGGATTTTGACTTCAAAGGCACGCCAAGATTGCAGACTCCAGTGCCCGTAGTTTGATGAATAATTTGTGCTTTCTCTAAGATCTTGCAGACCTCCTTTGAATTGGGACCTGGATTGGAAGTCGAATCACTTTTCGGAAGGCTGCACCACTGCCATCTCCTGCGCTTCTTGGACAAGATGGTACTGGTAGCTGAAACTTGAAGTCAGCTCAAAGCTGATCAAAGCTGATCAAAGCTGGGCTGTCGATATTTTAGAAAACTATGCATTTCTTATCATTTCTTTATATTTATTTCATGCAGTTTGGTCTATTTTGAATCATTTTGATACGTTTTGATGCTCAAATTTCCACAGCAGTCCATTACATCCTTCGCGTCTCATCCTTTGCGACCAAGGCTGAGCTCGCCCGCTTTGTCTCCCAGGGAGCCAGTGACCCCGATGCGTTTGCGGGTCGACTCTGATGCATTCACTCCGTCTCAGGCAGCGAGAGGGCAGTATGGGCAGTGGAGAGTTGAGCAGAGTGGAGGGGAAGTTGGAAGCGCCAAAGCTCCAGGGGCTGGACATTGTTTTGGGATGTTTTGGGCCATTGTGAAAAAAAAATGGTCGCTTTCCTCATGTTTGCCCCCAGCCTGACTTCGCTGAACGATGCTTTGCTGATCTTTAATCTTTGTCTTGGGCCTTAGAGAATCCGAGATTCGTTTGAGTTTGAGACATTTCAGGCTGGACCTCGACCATCATCGCCTCAGACTTTTCCACTACTGCGACGTCCAGGCCCTGTGCTGATTCAAGGCCTGCATCCTACACTGCATCCGGCACTGCATCCGGCACGCATCATCCATGCATCCTTCAAATTGCAACTGCAGGGTTTTTGGATGTTTTTGGTGTAATGAGTGTGATGCTTCACGTCGATATTGTGTGGTGTCAAGGAACGTCATTGGGACATTTCATTGGTCTCTGCGTTCGAAGATCCAATCTCGCTTGTCTATGCTTGTCTTGCCATGCAGGCATTGCGCCGAGGATGCCATCTCCTGCATGGTCCAGATCGAACTCGCCTGGTTTGACACCTCTGACTCCAGATCGCCAGGGAAGTCCTCGAGTTCCTCATGTCTTGGCATTCCGGGCAACTTCACCACCTCGTGACACGTCTCCACCACCACAATCACCTGTCTCAAATGTCTCAAGGCCTCTGATTTGGCAAGCACCACAACCACAAGCACGGCAAGGGCTCCAAGGACCAGGGCCGCAAGGAGCCCAAGGACAGTCGACCAGACCCTGCACACCCAGGAATGTGAGTCCAGCTGGATTTGTGTCTGCATCTGGTCCACCAGCTGGAGGATTTGTTTGGGGTGCGAAGTTGCAACCGCAGGCAGGATCTGGAGGGCGGACACTGCTTTAGAGACGCGGGCTTTGTATATGGCCTTGTTATGCATTGTTATTTTGACATATTTTGACACTTTAAGGAACCTTTGCTGCAAATACTTTAAGCCCAAAGGATCCCAAAGAGAACATTGTACGGAGACTTTTTGGATCTTTACGGACGCTTTACATGGATATTCGGGTCGCTTCGCGACGACAACCGCCCGCACCGAGGCGTTAGCTACAGAGTTCCAATAAATAAAACATAATAAAACCATACAAGTATGTTCGATGTTGGGCCTTTGGAGGGCGCATGTTGGGAGTATGTTGAGCCCATGTTGGGCCATGTTGAGCCCAAGTTTGGCAACTGAGCCGATTTTGGGTCCCTTTAAAACAACGTGGAAAAACAGAGGATTCTAGAGCAATACTGGCCTCCCCAAGCTACAGCTTAATAGCTATCGCAATTGCTTCCGGATCATGCGTGCCAACAAAAAACGCCTCGGCACCTTCGGTGCGTGCGGATTTTTTGGATGTTGTTGCAGTAGCTGACTTTGCAAGATCTTCCAAGCATCCTTGCCCAGGCAGCTTCATGGCAACCACCTCGGTTGCAGTCACCGCCTCGACGGGCAGAAACCCCAGCCAGCCAGAGACCTCTGCAAGCGCAGCCCATGCAGGCCACGCCTCAAGCAAATCCATCGAATCAGTCGACCAATGGGCAGCATGACCCATCTGACCCATCTGGCCCATCTGGCCCACCTGCACCAGGCCCACCAGGCCCACCAGGCCGACCTGGCTCGCCTGGCCTGCATGGAGTTGTGCCAGTTGTGCCTTTGCCTGGAGCTGTGCCCGGACCTCCTGAAGGGCCTGAAGGGCCAAGGGTGCCAAAGCCAGCAAATCAACGGGTCCTTACACCCCTCCGAATGCCAGTGCAGAGTCTGCCAATGCCGCCTTCAACTCCTGTGCTGAAATCACTTCGGGCAGTGTTACAAACGCCGATAAAATCAGCTGGTACGCCAGTGCAGACACCACGACAAACTACGCCATTCACACCTTTCTCCCTCTCCACACCTTTCTCTATACCAACTGCAACTACTGCAACAATACCAACCATGCAGCCGATAGGGCCGATACTGGTTGCACAGCCTCGAATAGGCCAGGGACCTGCACCTTTTGCAACTGCCTTCCCCCTTGCACCGCAACTTGACGAAAGAATACGAAAGACTTATGACATCTTATCACGACGTAGCTAGATGCAGCTATAATACAGATGCAACATGACGATCCGTGATGTATGTGATGTTGATTGATGCTTATGTTCTTTCTTGATTAAGCAACAAAGTGGGCAAAGAAGTTGAGACATTTGGCTTCATGATGTTGATGTGGTGTTGAGAGGCGAGTGAAGTCCGATTTGAAAGTCCTCTGTGGTTCCGAGTCCCGAGGCGACTTGGTTCTCCTCCCTCGCGAGCCATGCGTTCACCTCCGCCGAGACCAGCCAGCAGTTGAGACATGAAGAGATTGATGTGACATGATCAGGACATGACGATCATGTGAGGATTTCCTGAGCATTGAGGAACCACTGCAGATAGTACGGTAGATTTAGATACGGAAGACAGCGGAACACAACAGGAAACACCGTTTGAAAGTCAGTTCAAATGAAGACAAAGCTCACATCGCCTGAAACACAGGTGGTGATTAGAGATTAGAGTATCTTTAGGTCAACAGAATTTGTGAATTAAAGTGGCTGAAATAGTTGAGCCTTGCAATAGCCTTGCCCACTGATCTAAGCTTGTGTCAAGGCAAGCATTGATCCAAGAGCCGCAACCAACACCCACGTTTTCTGCTCTTTGACAGCACAAGTGCAGCAGTTGCACACTGAATGGACATATTCTGACATATTCCAATGATTCCAAACGAAGGTGTGAGCCGAGTACGATCCTCTAAATAGCTTGCACATGCTGTGCACATCCTGAGCTCCGTGAGTTCAGAGGGTGTATGATGGTGTATGATGGTGTATGGACCCTGTATGTATGTCTAGTCTTATGACATATTGATGATATATAATCATATATAAGGTGCAGGTACAGTTTATGGTAATCACAGGTATATATATACCGTACGACGCGTTTCTTTTAATGCATATCTTGAGATCTGAGAATTTAATATTATTCGAACATTGTAAACCCAGTGCCTGCTGCTTTGGAGGGTCACTCCATTGAGCAGCAAGATCCGTTGCTTGACAGCATGAACATGCAGTGGTCTCATGTCCTGGTTCAGCATCATAAATAGCAAAGACTGTGTACATGGACAGCTGATGAAAGCTCGTCATTTTTTGAATCCAAGCTGCCACGGTTGCTGTTGAAAAATGTTGAAGAACATGAAGAACATTGAAGGATTTTGATGTGTTCTTTTTCCTGGCAGCACAAAATGATTTTAGGCCTGCTCAAACATCAACTGCCGTCACAGATGTGAAGGTTGGGCTTCGGGCATTGCTTCGAAACAGACAGGCAACACATGAAACAAATGAATTAAGGCAGAAACAACTTTTTGATACTTTTTGTATGGATTGGAGCAGCAAGAGTATAGAAAATGATCATGATCTGAATAAATCTGTAGAACATAAATGAACATAGCCTACAGACTAAAGCCTATGGGAAGCGGGACGATTGCGGATGCTTTGCAACTCCTTCGACCTCGCTGTCAGGTTCATGGTGAGGCATCGGACAGACCTGAAGCGGGGCCATTGCGGGCCTTAGCTTGGGAAAGGGCAGCTCCAAGAAGGGTGCAACCCTCAGACATTCACAATGATTCACATAGATTCACGAGATGGTTAGCCAGTTTTCGTTTGCAGAGTTTCTTTGCAGAGCACCAACACAAAAGAATGCAGCCTTGCTTAGAGAATCTGCTAAGATGCATTGCAAGGCATCCAGAAAGAGTTTGAAAGACTGTTCACATCCGTTGGCTACATTTCTTTTGAGCACATTTCGCCTGAAGGTAGCTCGCATAGAGATCTGAGTCGCTGACTGTCTGGACTTGCTATGAGAGTGTGCCTATTCTTAGCCAGTCCACCGCAATGGCATACTTGTTTTGCAGAATTAACTTACTGTAAGATTCCTGAGGTTACAACTTCCACAGGTTGAACGACTTGTCTCTCATGAATTTGTTCCCAGCTTGTGAAATTTGAAAGGCATTCTGATGAATTACAAGAGCCATTGTGTGCGTGTGTGCGCGTGAAAAAGTAGACCAACTTGTGGTCGATGTCAATGTGAGTTCAATGAAGTCGTTCTGCTGGTTAACCGACAGAACCTGCTTAAACCTTGCACAGAGGGCAAAGACCCTTCCCCTTAGTGCTACATATGACATCATATGACAAGATTTAGCTACGAACTGGTCTCAGAGCGAAAAAGGGATGCCGTGCGAAGGGACTCAGTTGAGGCACCCAAGTCACTCAAGGTTTTGTTTGTGCAATGAGTTCACAAAGCGTCCACATACCATCACATACCCATGCATACTATGCATACTATTCATACTCATTTCATCTCATTTTTTTTTTCTACATGTGACATTGACACATATTGACACCGAAATGTCGAAGTGACAGCAATCCTTGAGGGATCTTCATGGACGGTTTGCCACTTGATGTCAGCCTGGGACCCAGTACTGGTACTGTCTGAGAAAAAATGACCCAGTTCATGATGATCAACCGTCTTTCTGCTTGTAGTGGCAAAGAGCATTTAGAGATTGTCGACATGAACTTGCTTTGTGCTTACCTATGACGTCCCATGACTTGCTTTATGTCTTTCTTGCCCCTTTTTTGATGCAAATTGACTTTCATGTTCAGTTTTAGAAAGCAGACATTGGTTTTGTCATGCATTGTCCTTTGGTTAAGATAGGCAAGTAGCCGTAATTAGCCTTATGCTGCGTTATAATCAAATCCTAAGTGGGATCTGTGTTTTGATGTGCGGTATCCCAAAGGCCCTAGGGTGCAATTTTTGTTCTGAAAAGGTGTGTCGTGACGTGTCGTGGTATATGTGGCCTTTTTCAATCTTTTTCATAACCGGAGTTTTGCTCAGGTTTGTGCCGATTGGTCTGGTTTGGAACGTGACCTGGTGCAGATGGATGCAAATTGTTCATTTACACCGCACCTTCACATTTGTAAACTGCACAACAGCGGTTAGTAAACTGCTTCCACTGGAGTATGGAATATCTCCCTTGAACGTACAAGTTCTGATGCTTTCAACTGGACTTTTGATCAGTATGACTCAGTATGATCAGTCACCAGAAGTTACCATGGCTTCAAGCCCAGGCTCTGGGGTTGCACCATTGAAGCTGTGGTAATGGCAGCCGCGTGCTGGCCCTGGAAGTAGAACAGCTTGACAAAGTTTGTTAGGTTTGGATGTCAGCTCATTTGCTGCCTAGATTCCGGGACAACGGAAATGGTGGGAATGACAAATGACTCTCACCCCAACCCTTAGACCCTGAAAAATATTCTGGACATTCGTTTTTGTTTCTTTTTCAAAGAAACATCGTTTTTGATAGTTTTTGAAGTTTCAGGTGTTTGACGTCAAAATCCCTTGGTTTCCGACAAAAGAAGGTAAACACCCAGAACCATGTTTCTTTTTGGCAGGATTTGCAATCTCCGGGTAAATTTATTCTAATGTATATAATATTATAATATGTTGTAATACTGAATGTTGGTGGTGCTATTCATGTGTACCCGTGTGCCCGTGTCTAGAGTCTTTCTTGTGGCAGACCAGTGACTGCAAGTAGCTGCAAGTAGTTCACCTAAGTGCGAAGTGCAGGTGACAAAAACATACAAAAACAAAAGGTCCAAACAAGAAATATGGTGGACTTTAAAAACGGTCTTTCATGATTATCCATAATTTTCCACGACTGAAGGTGTTCCAGCAAAGACCCCTTCAACAGTCCGAGCAGGACGGTAGGGCACTGGCGTGTCAGATGGCAGACTGCCCTTTGCAGACAGAGTAGCAACCATGATAGACCAAGAGGTTTGCTTGCAGACAGCAGATGGTGGTAGGTCCATCTACATCTGGTATCAGCATGGATTTTGTATTACATTGTAGCGGGTACTGTAATTGCCTTCTGAACATTTTCTTTGAATCTCAAGCACACTTCCAGGATATTTGCGGAGAGTGATGAGGCCTACTTGGCTGGTCTGTAGCAGACTCAAGAGTGAATTACTCTGGAGTTGGGACTCGGACCTTTCCAAATGTGCGGATGACATAATGATAGACGTCGTCTTCAATTTCTATCTGTACATTTTGTCCTCCCAAATAAGAAATATGCTTCCCCTGAGTTACTTTTATACCGTTCGATGTTCAACATTCTGAGGCGTCTTTCTTGGATGGCCCGTCGACGCTTCGACGGTGGCCATTTTTCCGAGCCCATCATGTCGGGCTTCCATGGCAGACGCCGACATTTTTTTCCAACGGAACATCCCGAACAGATCTTGTACTGTTGTCAAAGTTCTCACAGATCAACTGCTTTAAACTGTTGTACGTCTTTGGCGCGCTCTTACTTTGAATTGGTCGACTTCGTCAGCTAACTTTGAGGATGCTGCGGCTCTTTGCATACTGGGCTATGCACTTTGGCAAACTTGCCCAGTTGAAAGGCTAGCCTTGACTAATCTTTTGGATTGTGGTGAAAAGCAGATGACATGTTGATGCTGATCTCACCAATTTACCTTTCCAGGCAAAGCTCGCTTTGATACAGCCCTGGGCATCGTTTCCAAGAATGCAAATATCCACCCTGGAAGGCCTTTCAGTGGCACACAGCAAATTCAGTATTTGGAAGTCAATGAAGCAATGATCTAAATCAAGTCACAAGATCTTGTTTGCCTGCACAAGAGAAAAAGTCAGCTGCCAAAAGAACCAGAACAAACATAAACGCCTGTGGTTCCACACTTTAGCTGCCATCCTTGCCAGATGGATTGTAATTACATGATTGTACTGTCACACCTGTTGTCTCGATGCGCCAAGGTTCCAAAGCTTCTTAGCCAACATCATGGATCTCGCAGAGCGTGCTCGCTTTCTTCCCCTTCCTGGAAGCCCAGAGACTGTAGCAAAGACCATGCAAGACCTTGGAATCATGGCTGAACAGAACCTGGGACAGACCCAACACAACGGAGAAACTTTTCGGGGCTTGATGACTGTGCCCAGATTCCGCATGGAGCCAGTCAGAAAGGTCAGGAAATGAGATGTCCGTTTTTCATTACCTATTATAAGTGACAACCTTCAATCGCATGAAGCCGGAGGACTCACTGGTCTGTGGTAGTCAGAAGTCTTTCAACGTGCGCACATTTTTTTTCTTGCCTTTTTCCTCCTTTTTCTACCGGAAGCATCCTGAAGCATTTTCTGTCCTTATTGCTGGGTCGTTCCATGTAGCGATGCAGATCCAGCATCGAGTCGATTTGGCAACACAATCTGCCAAGGGCGCTTGATGAGTTTCTTTCGTTGCGAACATACCGGGCCATCGCTCCTACGCACAAAGAGCGAAACGAAGCTGCGGGCGCTGCTGGCAGCAGCATTCAGTGCCCTGGCATTCTTGCATGTTTCTTCAGAGGCAGCGTTGGTGCTAGCTAGGGCAGCTCGGACAATTTCACTAGATTCACTAGGTCTTCCTGGACCTACATGACTGTTGCATCGTGTGTATATATATATATATTCACTGTATAATAGTATATATATATATTATATATATACACTGTACATTTATATACTGAAAGCTGCATTTCCAGTGTAAAGATGTTGGAAATGCGGCGACAACTGCGCCTTGTTGCTGAAGGACTGAGTGCTGGCCACACCCGTTTGCTGATGATCCAAATTTTAAACATGCATTCATTTGCTTCAAACATGCCGGAACATTTTGAATCTGATTCAAAGACATTCAAATGGAAAGACGGTGTGTCAATTTGTGCCATGAGAGGAACCAAGAAACAATAAGAAACAGACGCAGGAGAAACTCGTGGAAGTTTGTACAACTTTGTGAAAGAGATTTTGAAAGAGAACAAGAGAACATGACACTTATGAAAGAGACTTTTGACTGAGAATGTGCATGTGTAATATTGTTATATTATGTTTGTGTATGTTTGTGTACGTTTGTGTACGTTTGTGTTGTGAGAAGTGCAGCCAAGTGCAAGATGCGAAATGTGCCAAGGCGAGCAACTCCTGGTTGGGCGGCGCTTCATCGATCAATTGCGGGGGCCGCCGAAACGTCCTCGTGGAGCGGGGGCCATGGCCTCAGTGTTGGCCGGGCCCCGCAAGGCCGAGGAGGACGAAGAAGAGGCAGGGAACCGAAGCGACATCGCCGTGAAATCGGATGAAATATATGATATGCTTGTTTCATATTCTATAATATTCGAATATTATTATATTTATATATTCTTAATCAATCTTGATTTGCATTAATTAGAATGTAATGAACATACGTATTGTGAGATATCATATTGATAGATATTGTGAGATGTTGAAGATGAAGAAGGCAATTATATAAAATGATTTGCACAGGATGGTAGGAACCGGGACAACGCGGAGTGACCTGGCGAGCTGATGGGGATTACCCGCGTATCGCCTTGCAATATGGTGGGCGGACAAGGGGTGTCCTGGCCTCAATGGTCAGCAATCATATTCCACAAGAACCTTAGTATCCCCTGCCCCAACCCATATCTAGCCTTCAACAGTAGTAGCATCGAGTTTTGAAGAGTTTTTGTGAGCGTTTGTGTGCAAGTGCAAGTAAACATAAGTAAACCAAGCGGCTCACCGCAGCGTTGAATCAATTGTGTGTCCAGGTTCGAAGGTGTTCGAATGAAAGATAATGAAAGCAAATAATTTGAAATGAACAGTATACTTGTATGATCTTGTATGAACAGCACTACACCAGGCGCTCACCCCAACCCTCCCATGTGTGAGGATAGATCCAATAGACCAGCTTAATCCAGATACAACCCTCTGCCCGTCTACCCATATTGGCACCTTGGCGACCAATATTTATCCCAACTTAGAATTGCAGCAAACCCAAAAAATAACGGCGCTTTGTCAAATTTGTCTTCATGGTGTGCTGAAATATGCTGAAAGCTTTCTGGCAAAACAATTGTGTACTGCCTGCCTGGAGGCACAATCGTACGACCATCCGACAGATGAAACAGAACCCGACGACATCTTCGACTTGAATGCAGAACTTGCTACGATTGAAGAAGACGAGGACGACCTAGAAGATGATGATGACGAGGAGTCGCAGGACGAATCTGGGCTATTTTGCATTTCGACGTATACCATCCCTAGAATTCACCGTGAAGTCCCGCGGAGACTTTTTTCATCGGACTTGAAGATTGAAAGTCTTGCCTGTGACCAACAAGTCCAAACAGCATTGACATCAAGACCAGAACAGGTTTACGAGTTTACTACTGGTTACTACTGGTTATGTGAGCTTGTTTCGGTGCAGGCTGTGCCTCCAAGTTGTCAGTCAAATTTGGACAGGTTTGGAGACGTTTGGAACGGGAGGTGAGCCTTCCCTGCCACGCCGTCAGGACTTGGAAGATGATGATGATGTGGCCACAGGCGGCAAGGGCACAAATTGCTGAGACATTGAAGTCTTGTGATGTTTAGCTTGAACTTGGGAATGTTGGTACTGTACATTTATTTTTGATGATTTTTGAATGTTTTTGAATCACAAGAGAGATCAGAGATGCAGATCTAGAGGGATGGACCTCAGGCTCTTTGGCTGCCAAGATTTAGCACTTGGACACTTGAACCAAAGATGAAACAAAGATAAAAACTCACGAATGGCCCGAACGGCCCGAATGGCTCACTTGACTTTTCACTGCAGAAGACATTCTCTGCGCAAGCTGTAAAGCACTGGTCAAGGCGATGATGTGCAGACGCGATTGCCATGGAAGAAGGCAGAGAAACGGCCGCCTTGCATCACATCTCAAACCCTTCCTACCGTACGATATCATCATATTCATGTTATATCATGAACATTCCATGCTGTTCCCATGTGCAGATGGCTGATTGTATGCGGACACACACACACACGCATACTCACATGAATAATCTATATCAAATTATTTACAGTATACTTCTATAACCTTCTATAAACTTCTATATGCGTTTGTATTCGCAACATTTATATCCAGATCATTTCAGATCTATTGTATTATTGTCATGTAACATAAACCCTTCTGGCAGAAAAGAACAGCACTCTGAGAACTCGGAGATACTCTGAGCATTGGAGAGGCACGTGACGAGATGATTTGGGCGGTGAACTCGCTGCCAGAGAAGGGAAGAAAAGTTCACCAGCGCACTGTGGTCGCCAAGTTGCAAACCTCTCAGGACGCGACATGTTCTCTTTGCAGTTGCGCTACTGCATCTGTTGCCGCACTGTTGCCTTAGCATATGTTGCCACGAACTCTAGGTAACTCAAAGCATTGGGCAAATCTGCAAAACTCCAGCTGCTCAGGATACTGCAGGAACGGTCACACTGGACAGGCATGGTCGGCGGGTTTCTTCGATAGTTTCTGATGTTTCCGGGACGACATGACAAATTGACCATGCTTAATTGACATTGAATATATGACACTGCTTAATCCACTTTAACATTTCCGACACCTGGATAATCTTGAATGAAGTGCCAAAGCCCAACGTGCTATACCTGGCTCCCTTGATCTTTTGTAGATATCACCCAGTACTGTATCCAGGCTTCTTGTGATTTGTGTACAGCTGCTTCAACATGTCGTAAGCTTACACAAGAGGGGCCTAGAGGTCAAATCCCATTAGGGACAACAAAGTGAGTGTACAGGCAGATTCCCATGAAACGACTGGCAAGCGATGAACTTGAGCACACAGAATATCACACAACTACCTTAACATCACATGACTTAACACACATGTCACGCGTTGGAAACTAGTCACATCTAGTCACATGGTTTTTGTGTTTTTCAGGCTTCCCGATGTGATGGCAAAGCTGGCGGGCCGTGCACCGCAACACGTGGCTCGCAAGGACTGCGCTCAAAGGGTGCAAACTGACAATTGCGACAGACATTTGGCATACCTTGCACTTACCTGGCAATTTTAGTAGTACTCTTGCACTGCGCTTGACAATAAACCTTGTTTCAGGGGAAGGAGTCTGAGTTCGCAGCTGCTCTAATCTCAAAGTGGTCCACGCACGCCCAAAGCTGTGGAGTTTTGTTACATACTGATATAATCTTATAATATCCTAAAATTTCTTATACACTTGTTGGATCTTGTTGGTTTGAAATCCTGAGGTTTGCTTTCCGCGTGAGACCGTCAAGGAGTGCGGATCTCGGAGCAGCTGTGCACACAGTGATTTTGTCTTCAACTTGTGTTCCAGTGTTCCAGTTTTCCAGTGCGCTGCTTTGTTCTTGGGAGTTCCCTACGTATCATTCCCAGGGCGACCGCTCTGCTCATATCACCATTGTATACAATTATTGTAGTTCATTCGTCTATGACTGTCTCTGAGATGCTGGCCGTTTGCATTTGATGGCACTTTTTGTGGCTAGATTTGTTCAGGACGAATAAGGCGCATTGTGATTTTCAATATTTGAGCATGATGTCTAGTATGCACATGATAATATATTATATATGTATATAATATAATTATATATATATGATATGTATATTGATACACAATATATACACAATATAATACAATAGGATATACTATACTATACTATAATATGCTATAATATCTTAGTTGCTGCTTGTCATGTTACAGTTGAATTGTGCTTATTTGCAGCTAATGCTCATCTCATTTCACTGCAACCTAAGTACAAGTTTCTGTATAGGCTCGGTGTGTTTCTACCAGTATGAATCAAAGACAAAGCATGTTTTCTACCAGGAGTTTAACAGTTATGCAAAGCTATCATCCATAGGCAATGAATTGCATGTAGCGGCTGCTTGGAGTCTCTTTTGCTCACAATCTACGCGGACATCCCAGGCTGGACCTGCCATCAGGGCCGTCATTTTTAACGCCACCCACGCTGGAGGGTGCAACGCCATCTGCTAGCATCTCTCATTCGACAGAGCCCTAGCTTCCTCGCTGCCTTTTGGACCCTTTTGGGAACGTGGAGTAGCTTCTGTTTTGATCTGTTTTAGGGAATGCTTCATGGTCCTCAGAGGTTCAGCATGGGCTCCTTCTTCGTGGACTTTGATGGTGACCTGGTAGTGCTTCGGTTGCATTGATTAAGAAGAAACAGCTCCAGTCACTCCTTGGAAAACAGACTTCCCTTGCAAGCTACTGTACACTTTAGAAAACAGACAATCCCTATTCAGTTTGGTATGACCGGCATGACCGAAGGTGATTAAGATTGAGAAAGCTGCAATTTGTTTGAAGCAGCCTTGCAATAAATCGCAGAGGAATCATTTCCAATTGGCAATAAGCTTCACTCGGAGGTTAAGATGGACATATAAAGAGCAATGCGAACATGTCAACATGATGTGAAAGAAAACAAACAGAAAGCAAACACTAGTCACTACTCATCACACAGAAGAATGTCGACGCATGCAGCAGCATACAATTTTCTTCACCTTCTAGAATTTTAATTCGGAGAAGTTGTCAGAAACAGGTAGGTTTGAATGGCTTGAAAACAAAATTCCAACTGCAGGCTCGGCCCAGCTCGCCATACCAACTTAGCTTCTTTCTTCCTGAGCGCAACACTTCATCTGAAGAGGTGCCCAGCAGGATGCAGTTTTTGAATCTTTTTGAATGTTTTATAATGTTTTGTAATGTTTTATACCGTTGTAAGTTCTAACGTTTTTGATGTGCTTGAAGTTTGCATAGGCTCACGCTATTGTGTTGTAGGACAAGCAGCAGCAAATCCGTGGTGTATTGGAAGCCCGCAATCCAGTAGGCAAGAGGCCCAGGCCTTCTATGCAGATGATGTGCTAGTGAAACAGATGCAGCCATCTGCAGCAACATCCGAGTCATGAGAATTGAATAGAATGTGTATAATTATATACATATAATATATATATATGTAGCCACTAAAGATAGCTCTCTTCATTGGTTGTATTTCTCATGGTTCAATTGTCGACTGGTGAATGGCTTTGTACAATCCGTTCCCAAGGCTTTCCGTGCCATGTCAACGCTGGTGATGATTTCTTTTGCTGGACACCAAGAAAAATCAATAATGCCATGACAGGTACAGACTATGACTCAAAAAGCCGTGCAAATGGGCGTACAAAAAAGTAGAACAGGTGCAAGAACTGCGATGTGCTGAGGCACTGCAGCTAGCATGCAACTTCTGGGTTCCAGGAAGCTTAAGTGTGAAACGAAGCGAACTGCTCGACTTTTTCAGCATCTTCAGATGCTTGAATTCTGACGCATTTTTTTGTTTCCATTTGGTTTCTGAACAGGACATCAGTCCGTGTGAACGGTGTGACCATCTTCAGAGCAGCTGAGTTCTTAGAATTCGAGAATCTTTACTTCGCAGTTTGCCTACTTTGATCAGTGCGCTCTTTCTTAATCTCAGATACATATCATCATAACACTATAGTTGTACATATAATATAATACAATATAATACACATATATATATTATATAATATAGATTCATACATATTTGTGTATATTTGTACATACATACACATAACATACAATGTGTTCTATCTACAACTTGTCCACTATAAATATTTTGGATCTTTGACAAATCTCCATCTGCTTTTCTGAAGGTAGAGCTCACAGCTTGCCCTACTCAGATCTTATGCAATTTTATACAGAAAAAATAAATTGCAGGCTGAGATCCTGTTCGCACTTGCTACGCTCTGTGTGGGACTTTGTTGGTTTAACTTCTGTCTCAGAAAGACCTGTCCTTTTTGCAGCTTCTTGTGACACATATCCTCTTAGTATATCTTTGTATGCCTTTCAGCTATACGAGGCCCTGAAAGAAGCTTCATGTCAGTCCGTCTAGGCCATGGTCCTGCAGGCGTTTGGCATCGTTTGACATATGACTCACATGACATATTTTGATCAAACAAATGCTTGCAGATCTTGCAGATCTTGCATCAGCTTGCATCAGCTTGCATCAGCTTGCATTACTGTAGTCACTCGGTTCACTCCAGCAGTGAAGGCCGTGCGGTGTATTCGATACCACGTTGGCTTTGAAAGGTGGCTCCCGCTCCTCATCTCCAGAACACCTCCTCGCAGTGAAGGCAAGCAAATTCAAGTGAACAAGCCGAGCCTAAACCAAGTGTTTGTGAGCGACTTGACCTTTGTTGAATCTACGTGGGCAAGACATGTCACTGGCCTAGAAGCTGATCATTTTCTCATCCATTCCCATGACTCAATGACTCATGACTAAGTCATGACTCAATGACGACTCAGCTCTCAGATTATGAATCTCTCAGATGCCGGGATTTTTTGAGAGATCCTTTTGATTCAAATTGTGATCCTTTCGATCTCTTGATTGCTATTGCTGTATTGCCCTGCGCCTTGCAGATCTTGGGCTGGGAGATCAGCCTCTTGGGTGATGAGCGAGGTGAAGGTGGTGCGGTTGTTGCGGAGGAGGCCTTGGAGGCGACGCTGGAAGAGTGTACTGAGATGTACTGGAAGAATTGACTGAGATGTACTGAGTATAAGTTTCATCAAGTTTCTACAATCTGGACATGTGCTAGATGTGTACATGCATATCATGTATTGTATATATGTGAAATGACATGAACTTGATTGAATTTGTATACTTACTTTGATTGTTTTTGTCCTGTTTGGATGAACATAGATGTATACAGATTTATATAGATGTATAGATAAATTATCATAAAGTGGAGCTGAGTACAGAGAGATTCTCTTTATTAACCAACCAAAATCATGGTTTTGGATGTTTTGGATGTTTTGAATGTTTTGGCATGTTTTGGCACAGGCCATCCAAGAGGTGCGAGCAAGCATCAAAGCGGCCATGGCACGGTAACTTGGCGTTGTATTTTGCAGGACAGTCTGGATGAGGAAACGGAATGAAACGGAATGAAACGGGAGGACACGAGGTGGAAGAGCGTGGTGTTGCATTGTTTTGCTATACTCTGATATATTCTGTAAATTTGATGCGTGGGAGGTCCAATGAAGATGATACGGTCGAGGATCTCAGTCGGCCGCACCATTTGGGATTTGACACGATCATTTTGCACGGCGAGTCTGCTCTGACAGCTCTCAGACAGGACCTTACAACGCTCAACGCTGGTCAGGAGGACAAAGAGCCTAAGAAGCGGAAGCTTCGACCTTCAAGGCATCTGGAAACATGCTAGCAGCTGCAAGCAAATAGGAGAGGATTCGTGTTGATGAAACCGGGGGCAGATTGAAATTCATGAGGGATGCATTTTGATCAAAGAAGGTGCCCAGCAGTTTGTAACACAGTCTTTTTAGCGGCTTCTGATCTGGAAAGTTTGAAGGATTTCAGGTTCTCCTAAGCTGATCAATCCTTACCAATCCTTTACATATACTTCTGCCATGGAATGCCGATTTGAGAAGGTTAGAATGTTCTAAGGGTCCTAACCCCCAGGATCAGGTCATTCAAAGTTAAAGAAAGATAAAGAAAGTAGTAAGTATTTATGGATTGATTGATTGATTGATTGGTTGATTGATCGGGCCGGGGCTCTGCTTGTGTGGAAACGTGTAGAATTGTAGAATCGGCTATCAATTGGATAATCCTAGCTACAAATCTCCTTGTATCTCTTCATGGGCAACAATGCGGACCTTGTGGAAGGTATGAAGACACCCCAGAGAAGGTCCTGGACAAACTGCTTGCAGTCGTCCAAGAGGTGGAAGTGCATCCCATCGCTTGTGTTCAGTTGTGCAGCACTTCTTGCAGTTGTCCTATTGAAATTTTAGTTATTTTTACATGCCTTTAGATGGCTTTTCGCAACTGAGTGTTTGTATTGTGACGTGCAGGCTTCAGAAAGGCTAAGCTTCAGCATCGATCATCAGATGCGCATGCATGCGGTGGACTGAGAATTTTCACGGTCAGTCCTATAAGCAGATCAATTCGACAACATGCCTGGAGATGGCTGTTTACTGATGTTTACTGAATAAATATGAAAAAATAATAAAAATATGAATCAATTATAGTCAATTCAAGTCACCTCTTAATTGTCAGCTGTGCGCGCGCACATTAATTCTGGGACAAAAATGAGGAAGCTGCTGCCAGGAGCTCAATTGGATGACACAAGTGGTGAATATAGATATATGATATATATATATATATAATTATATAGTGAATAATATAGATTCTAGATATTTCTAGATGATTCTAGATTCAATGCATTCTAACATATTGTAACATGATTCAGATCCAATTGACAATTGTTCGTGAATGTTCGTGACTTGGTGACCAGGGAAAAGATTGTTCTAGATTTTCCATGATTTTCCTGCTTGTACGGGTGAACTATGGTGAACTCATACTGTGTGTTGGGGATGCTTTCCCAGCAAACTCACGAGTCGCTCTTGTTGCCAAAGTAGTGCAACCAAGGAAAGAGGCAGAAAGCGGCGAGAGAAGCTGAAGGACCCGAGATGACCCGAGTTTCAGAAGATGCCAGAAACATCTTTTTCTAGCGAGTGCTATACCTAGTTCAGATTTAACTTCTGTTATATACTGTTGATTTGGTTGAATGGAATGCTTCAGCTCAGTCATTTAAGCTCGCTCCTGTGCGTCGTTTCTTCGATGTTTCTCTGCTTGACCTTTGCACACCCTGTAAATGTGTGAATCATTGAGAGGTGGACGATGGGGGACAGTTGATGGCAGTTGTATATTTCACGCTTGTCAGATTTTTAAGGGCATGCTTGGCGGATCTTAGCGGCTTAGCAGAGCTGATTGCTCTGATCTTGGCGTTGCAGGCGACCAAAGAGGAGGAGGTTCTTTTGGCTGGAGAGGAGACAGCGGTGAGAGCGTTTGGGTCATGGTCAAAGCATGTCAATACATAATGTGTGACATAATATCAAAATACTAATACAGCCAGTACATACTAATACAGTAAATAGAAGGCGTTTTGCGCAGATCTAGAGATGCAAATCTATGCAAACCTTTTGCAGTAATTTGTCCACAGGATTTGTCTTCTTCATACGGTCGAGGGAACCACAACAACAGGTGTGATTTGCTTGCATCCCTGAAACCTGAGACTGGAGACGAGGAGCAACTAGCACTAATTTGTTCCACAGGACATATTTTTCGGCCCTTTTGAGAACACACTTGCAGCATACCTGCCTCCGCATACGCATATCCCTTCCCACCTCCGCACTCAAAATCGATATGGAACGGATTCCATTTAGTGAAGGAGTCATGATACCCATTGAGGGTGCACTTGGTGAGCATTCTTTATCTCAAATTGTGACATGATGCATTCGCATACATTTGATTATATTTTGATCTATTGTACATCGATGTGTCACAGTTTCCTGTTCTTCTCCCATTCTTAAGGAGTCTGGCTTTGTGGATTTCCTGCGGCCGTTGGCTCTGCACTCAGCAATGCGGTGCTATACAGTTTGCTCTGCAGACCTGACACGATCTGACTATCCTGTTGGATTTGACATCGACTTCTAGGGTATTCTCATGCCTTGCAGATATGTAGCCAACTTGGAGTCACGTGCCAAGTAACAAGTCTCTGCAGTCTTGGCCCAAAGATGCCCAAAGAGTCATAAAAATACAAAGAGCATGACATATTATAAAAGAGTAAAGGAGTATATAGTCTTTTTGCCGGAACTGTTTGTTTGCTTTTTTGCGCCGCTGTCATTTGTGCCTTGCGTATCCTTGCGTGACCTTCTTGCACTGTAGCGACTGTAGCATCTTCAACAATTTTGTACCTGTTGTTTTAAGCGTTGAAAACGGTAGACGGCAGATACTGGCAACACGTTGAATCTTGATTTGATCGTTCCGTGATTGCTTCTCCTCGGTCTGACTTTTGGGCCGCATACGGCCGCTATCTTGCAGGAATTCTGCAAGGATCCTGCCGTTGCTGCAGCTAGATCTTTGAAGCGGTGGTCATCCTTGCACGTTTTCTCATGAGAAGAGCATAGTGCACGTGTCCCTTTGCCTTTGTCAAGCAACACTGAAGCCAATCTTCCAGAGATTCCAATCACGTCAAATCACATGCGATCACATGCGATCACTCTTTTTCCCAAGTCATCGAGTCAAATCAAACAGGGCTAAGAAAGCTCCTGCAGCAAAGTTTCGCTGCCCTGTATGCGAAGAGGTGGGGCCTGATGCCCGCAAACATGATAGGACATATCGGTCCCTGGACTTGAAAGATTTGGAAGGTGCAATCTTGCAAAGATTTGCAAAGCAATGCTCACGGGTAACCTCTCTCTCAAGTTTCTCAGCAGAGTAAGATTCGATTTCGGCACATTTCGGCACATTTCGGCACATTTCGGCCATTATCACAACTTTACAGAGTGCGCTGCTGGAATCGGCCACCATTTTGTTCTTGCCTGCTCAAAGTCTCCCGACTAGCTCTGGCAAAACAGAAAATGAAGACGGCTGAGACAAAATCCGACATGCCCGAACAAAATCGAACTAATAGAATAGAACGAAGTTGGAGCTGCTAATACTGCAATACTGCAGCGGTCGGTAGGGAGGAAATCCTCCAGTGACATCCAGTGAATTCCATTGAGTTGTCTTTGCTATAATATGTAATATTTATATAACATATCTAGTCCAGTATACACATATATGCATTGTGCAAGCTGAAAGGACTGAGGCGAATTCATGCTCAATGTATATACATATATATTATGACATATATAAGTCTATATAGATGGATATATATATATATATGTAATATGTGTAGTAGATACAGTTGCAAGCCGGAAGCTGTTACACACATTGAGATTCAGAGTCTTTCTCTTTCACTGCAAGACTGAAGCACGTGTCATCACGTGTCAAGCTGCTGATTTCTCCGATCTTGCTTTATGGCTGGGCCAAGTCCCAATGCTGTACAGCCTAGCGGCCGGCCTTTGCCTGTGGAGTGCGCAGGACCGATGCTCTTGTTTAGCGCAATCTGTAACAAATGTTGGGAGCTATCAGCATGAATCCTCAAGATAAAACGATTCACCCAAAAAAGCAATCCAGTAGACTTCAATAGACCAACAAACAAGCAAATAAAAACCAACCAATACAGTAAGAGGAGTACCGCAATACTAGTACGAGACGCTTCCATATAGACAATGGTAATGATCATCATCTCCAAATAATCGAATTCGCATCACATAGGCTCGTTTGCCCAAAAGACTATGATGACTATAATATGTTTTCAGCATTATGTGTCGCAGCCCTTATCTCAAAATGCCTGGCTGTTTGGCTTCAAAGTCTTTCAAAGCCTGGCAAAGCCTTCTGACTGACGTCTCTGACTGATGTTTTTGAAGGCACACGGGCCAAGATCGCCATCAAGTGGCTGTGGTGTGTATCGTAGATGCTCCAGCCTGGAGCCTGGCGAATGGCTGGCTCCCGATGAATGGCTGACGAGTCCATCCGTGTCCTGGTCACAGAGATCACAGAGGATGTTTGAAATGGTTTGAATATGTTTGCTGAAATTTGTTGAATACGTTTGAATCATTAATATTTTTTGAATCACATTCCGCATAATGACATCAAGACATCTAAAGATGCACAAGGGCATAGGGACTGTTGTACGGTGCCAAAGCTGTTTGATTGGGTGTATGTTCCGGATCCAGACTTGCCTCATGTACATTGCATCAAGGACAGATACATCGCAGTACTCATAGCAGATCAGCTCCAGGTCTTAGATTCCGTGACTCGCCAGAGTTGGAACATGTTGGATGTTACAGTAATGAAATGATGTTAGAAGGATTTTTTTTCGGTTGCTGATGACCCGGCCATTCTCCGGCTTAGTCTCATGCAGGATCACTCAAAGTCACTTCCATGAATCCAACAATATCCAACAATATCCAACAATCACGTTTCATGTTCAGGGCACCTGTTGCGTTCTGGTTGAAAAACATCTCCTCGCAAGGCAAGCCTGCGTACTCGGTGGGCCTCTCCAAACACCAAATCCGAAGCTTGGAGCTGTCTTGACAGAGCTGGTAGTGGTAGCGCCAAGTCTTTTTTCAATCTTATTTGTGGAAGACACAGGCTTCTTACATGCTTTCACAGGAACGAGAAATGTATGGATAAATGAAGACACATGTATTGTGGAATGGCACCTCAACGAAAATGGGATGATAGGTACAAAAGCATTTTAGGTACTCCTGTCCATTCCTGATTCCTTCTTGGTCTAACTGAAAATCTGAGGCGTCACGATTCCGAACGCAGTATATATACCAGTAGTACCCCCACGAGGCGGGGCGGAAGTTGCCTTAGGGTTATACTACAAGACCTTTCTCATCTATAGAACTTGCATGCGCCGTGCGCCAGCCAGGCCCCTGCGTGCGTGCTTTGTGCGAAGCTGTTGCGGTGTTGTTGTCCAAGAACATGACCTGCGCGCGACCCCGGCGGAATGCAACTAAAAGCGAACACTTTCTTCACACTTCACACTGCACTCTTCACACCCCGCACTTCACACTTCACACTTGCACTTCACACTCCACACTTCATCTCATCTCAAATCATGTGAGCTCTTCTCACCTCATCTCACCTCATCTCAGCTCTTCTCATCTCGCCCCATCTCTTCTCACATGTCATTTAAGCAAGTTCTTCTCAACCGTTTTCATCTCGTCCGAGCGCTGATAAACCTTTCTCATCTCCCCGAAGTTCTTCTCAACTCATCTCAGCTCTTTTGCGCGCCAGAAAGATCTTACTGTCAGAGAAGTCTCTTGCACAAGAAAAACATTGGGCGCAGAAAGCTTTTGCACATAGAAGCTTTGAGACACAGGTGCATTTACACAGAAAAGCCTTTCAAACATACTTTGTACTACAAAGCTTAGCTGCTTGCACAAAGCACTTCCCAGTACGACTTTGTACGCTCTGTACTTCCCAGTACTAAGCTTAGCCGCTTGCACAAAGCACTTCCCAGTATGACTTTGTACGCCCTGTACTTCCCAGTACTAAGCTTAGCTGCTTGCACAAAGCACTTCCCAGTACGACTTTGTATGCTCTGTACTTCCCAGTGCTACTTTGTGCTACAAAGCTTGCAGAAAGTATTTCCCTGTACTACTTTGTACTACGAAGCTTGCACAAAGCACGTCCCAGTACTACTTTGTACTACAAAGCTTGCACAAAGCACTTCCTAGTACGACTTTGTACTACAAAGCTTGCGCAAAACACTTCCCAGTACTTCTTTGTGCTACAAAGCTTGCGCAAAGTACATCCCGGTACTACTTTGTACTATAAAGCTTGCACCAAGCACTTCCGAGTACTACTTTGTACTACATAGTTTGCCCGTAGTACGTCCCAGTACCACTTTGTACTACAAAGCTTGCACGAAGTACTTCCCGCTACTTTGTACTACAAGGCTTGCACAAAGTACGTCCCAGTACTTCTTTGTACTACAAAGCTTGCACAAAGCACGTCCCAGTACTACTTTGTACTACAAAGCTTGCGCAAAACACTTCCCAGTACTTCTTGGTGCTACAAAGCTTGCGCAAAGTACATCCCGGTACTAAAATCTTGCACAAAGCACATCCCACTACTACTTTGTACTACAGAGCTTGCACAAAGCACGTCCCACTACTACTTTGTATACAGCATCAAGGAACCAATCAGAACTACGCACACACGACGAAACAAGCACTGCAAAACACCATCAAGGAACCAATCACACACCAAAACGAAGGGACCGCAAACCAAGCCCCAAGCAACATTCACGCAGCCATTACAATTCGTTTTGCAGCAACTAGTATACATCTATGCAGCCATGACAATGCGATCTGCAGCCACAGATTCCAAAACGACCTACAACTACGCACACACGACGAAACAAGCATTGCAAAACACCATCAAGGAACCAGGAACCAATCACACCAAAACGAACGGACCGCACCCGCCGCGCACAGGAGGTACCTTTCATCGCCGGCCGAAGCGACTTTATACGGAAAAACACAAGGTTTCGCTCCGGCTTCCTCCCCAGCACAAGCCCCATGCAACATTCATACAGCCATTACAATGCGTTTTGCAGCAACAAGTATAAATGCGATCTGCAACCACAGATTCCAAAAGACCCTAGAACTACGCACACGCGACGAAACAAGCATTGCAAAACACCATCAATGAACCAACCACACACAAAAACGAACGGACCGCACCCGCCGCGCACACGAGGTACCTTTCATCGCCGGCTGAAGCCACTTCACACGGAAAAACACAAGGTTTCGTGCTCCGGCTTCCTTCCCAGCACAAGCTCCATGCAACATCCACGCAGCCATTACAATTCGTTTTGCAACAACTAGTATAAATCTATGCAGCCATGACAATGCGATCTGCAACCACAGATTCCAAAACACCCTTCAACTACGCACACACGACGAAACAAGCATTGCAAAACACCATCAACGAACCAACCACACACAAAAACGAACGGACCGCACCCGCCGCGCAGACGAGGTACCTTTCATCGCCGGCCGAAGCGACTTTATACGGAAAAACACAAGGTTTCGCTCCGGCTTCCTCCCCAGCACAAGCCCCATGCAACATTCATACAGCCATTACAATGCGTTTTGCAGCAACAAGTATAAATGCGATCTGCAACCACAGATTCCAAAAGACCCTAGAACTACGCACACGCGACGAAACAAGCATTGCAAAACACCATCAATGAACCAACCACACACAAAAACGAACGGACCGCACCCGTCGCGCACACGAGGTACCTTTCATCGCCGGCTGAAGCCACTTCACACGGAAAAAACAAGGTTTCGTGCTCCGGCTTCCTCCCCACCTTTCATGCATGTATTGGTACGTGATGTAAAGTCTCACACCGCCCTTCATGAATGTATGGTTATGTGATGTAGCTCACACCGCCGTTCATGAATGTATTGTGATGTACAGTCTCACACCGCCTTTCATGAATGTATTGTTATGTGATGTCAAGTCTGACGCCACCCTTCATGCATGTATTGTTATGTGATTTAAAGTCTCACACCACCCTTCATTGAGTAAAAATCATCCGTAACTCGGAAGATTGCTTCCCAACTTCGATTGATAAAACTATATATATAATTAATTATAATTATATATATATATATATTGATATAGATATATTTACATATAGATATAGTATATATATATAATTATATATATTTATTTATATATATTTATTTATATATATATATGTACGTGTGTGTGTTGATCAAACGCGATCAAACATGACCACTTGCGATCATTTCATGTCAGTTTGCTTTGAGCTTAGGAGGAACTGCTGTCCGCCAGAGTTGCGGAAGGGCACCTGCGATTAGACGTGCCGCGTGGCGCCTTTATGCAAAAACTGCCTCGACTGAGGACAGGAAAACCCAAAACCACAGCCACCAAAGCTACGAAACGGTGCAAATTTTGATAAACTTTGCATCTTGTAAGCTATGGGAGAAACATATTCAATATTATTCAATTACCATTCTCTTCCTATCAAAAAATCAGGGAAGAAGGATGGGACTGAAGTTCTCTGAATAGACCTCCGGGGGAGGGGCTCTCCCATAAGATTGACCTTTTTCTTGGCTAGCAGTTGACCCTTTGAACTGGAATGTTTTTTTGTGATGGTTCACTCCAAATCCAGTGAACACATCGCATTGGAGCACAGCCTTTGGTGACTGGCCTTGGATGTTGATTTTGAACACATCTTCGTTTCCACCCCGAACATCCCCGAATCTGTTGGGACATGTTCATCCGGTGAGGAATACCAGAGTCCGCTTCACTGTGACGGCAACGCGCGGCGGGGGCGATGCAAAAGCACCACAAGGCGTTCAACTGGCGGAGTTCTTATTGTGGCGTGCAGGTGCGATCCCATCCCGTTTTGGATTTTTTTGGTGCCAATTTGAGGCTGACCCAACGTGACTGAACTAAGATCTGCTCAGCATGTTTTCAACTGCAATTTTGAGGCACCCATGGACCGCATCGATTTTTGAGTGTTTTTCTGGTACATCACTCAGTCATAGTCAATAGTCAGTCTATAATTGGTCCCTTGCCATGCCCAAATACCCCAGGCAAACCTATGCAGCCCACCGCATCGCATGCTAGCTGTCCAGATGGCGTTGGTCCGGCCTATCAAGGATCTTGGAGCAGCAAAAGTCCCTTTTGTTTTTTTGGCTGTTGTGCGGCGTGTGTGGTTTGTTCTTTGTATGTCTTTTGTTTCCGCTTCTTCATCTTTGTGTAGTGCTATCACACTTCACTGTGCGCACTTGCAGAAGGTCCAAGAAATGCGGTGGACGGCAATCACAAGACGAAATGGTGGGTATCTTCAGAGCCCAATGTCACTTTAGCCTTGTGCTTAGCATCGTCAAGTTAGAAAAGAAAGGTGAAATTGGTTGAGGTATGGATATTTTATTTTCATTCCGTGCTTAGGTGATTCTGCTCCAAACAAAGCAACGATTCGTCCAGAGGTATTTCATGGTATTTCCATCATTTCACACAGATGAACACTGGGTGAGAACTGAGAGACCATGACTGGGATGAGGTACTGGATTTTCCTGACATCCCTCCAGAAGGACCTTTCCTCTTTGGGTTCACCACTGGTGATGACATGCCTTCTCGGGATCCAGTTGGCCGGCAGCACCATAATTCCAGGCCTAGGCTGCAAACAAGTTTTGTTTTGTGTTTTGATCCTTGTTCCAATGCAAGATATACCAAGATAATCCAAGATATGCAAGTGCACAGAATAGAAGAGACTGCAGACTTGCGTTTAGACACTGACCCAATGTTGCCAGAGGCTTTCACAATCAGAGATTTTGCTGCGTGTGGAACTGGTGTTCATGCTCATATTATACTTCAGCTTTCCTCAGTGCGTTCCCCCTCTCGTTGGGGTCTCCGGGTTTTGCACAGTGTATGGACTATTATGGACTTGTACTTGCAAGGCACAAGAAGGGTCTTCTGGGACCATCAGTTTTGGTCCTATAGGTCCTATAGGATACAGTAGGCAAGCATTCCAAGGTTCCCTAGAAAACCACTGGCCAGCAACCATGTCCTGGCATGAATTCGAAAAGCAGCCAAACACATCGAAGAGAAACATATGTGTATATATATATATGTAATTATATATATACATATTTATACATAAAGATATAAACACTAGATAGAATCTTGAACCCTCGTCAGACCCAATAGTATGATAAATCAAAGTGGAGGGTAAGGCTGGGTAAGGCCACCTTCACCCTACTCCTCATACCTCATGGCCACCGGGCCCTCCATCAGCCACTCAATCAATACATTTGGATCATTTTGGATCATTCAGGGCATCATTTTGTTTGAGGTCCGGTGGATCCTAGAAGGCTCAGTGGATGGAACTTCTTGGATTGAGTTACACCGCCAAGATGCTTGCATCACTTCAGTCACTTCAGTCTTTCAAATTGTCGAATTTGATTCGGTGATATTTTATTCTCATGCGATATGAGATTATATGAGCCTGCATCCTGTTTAATGCGAGAAGCATGTGAATGTTCATGAAGTTCATGACTCACGACTGTTCAATATGTTTGTTCATGTTTGTTCATGTTTGTTCAATATGTTTCTTCAACCTGTTTCAATGATCGATTCAGGACACCACCTTTGCCACGCCGTTGTCACGTGCTTCCATGACGCAGCTCTTCGATCTAAGCCATCGCTTCATGCAGCTGACTAGGTCGCAGCCTGTCATGAAATCTTGGCAACCTTCTGACATTTCCCTGTCGTTATACTGCGAGTCATACAGCACATCATTTTGTATTGTATATTGATGTATATTGTTCATTATTATTCTACTCACTGTTATATAATAATTATATTATATATTATACTGCAATATAATATATATATATATATATATTAATAGCTTATTAATATATGTTGTTTAATATTGTTTATGTTCCTTTCAAGCTTTTAAAGGCTTCATTGCTTCACATTGTCTCGCGATGCCTTTGCGCAGTTTGAGCTCAGGAAGCTGCAAAGTGCGAAGTCGGGACGCATTGCACAAGCCGCACAGCCTTTTGCATTGGAACTCTCCGACCAGGGCTCATTGGCATTGGCTCCTCGTCCGGCTCTCAGAAGTCAAACATGTCGTACGAAGTTATACTAAGATGGCAAAAGCAGGGCAGAAGCGCGGAATGGTGTTATCCTTTGAGAGTTCAGTCTGTTCGTTGAAGTATGTCTTGAGATGTCGTGAGTTTAAGCATGTTTAAGCTCACAGCTACTAGCACCATTGTTCATTCGTCTACAATCATTTCCCGAAGTACACTTCTGTCCTTATTCCAATCTGGTTTTCACAACTGCTATTTGTAGCAACATGGTTTTAACATGTTTTAATTTGATTCAATTTCTGCCTTTGTGCAACTCGGTTCTGTCCGACAAAGAGCTGTGAAGCATGTGTTAAACCATGTTAAACCTGGTGCGAGCCCATTGGTGCTGGTGTTGTGCACCAAGGAGACTCTCGTCAGAATCGAGAGCCAGCTGGGCTTGCCAGTGAGTCTCCAGGTCTTGCCATTTGCTGAGCTCTGGAGTCTGCTCCAAAATGAACCAAATGCACCAAGAAAAGTTTAAAAAGGTGGAACATGTTAGACAGAACCACCTTATGTTAGGAGTGTTAGGTTCCGACCGTCCAAAAAGGACGAACCTGGACCAAAGTGCTGACCACAAAAAAGTGTGACTCGTTGAAGCATTTGAACTTGAGATTGTTCAAATATGATTTGCAACGCTTGCTATGGTTGCTATGCCTGGGTGTTTGGACCTTACAGATCATTTGGACAACACAGTGCAAAAATGTGCAAAACATCTCATGCTTGGACATGTTTCATCCTTTTCTATCCTTTTCTCAAATTTTTAATTGTCAGGTATTTGTGCGTGCTAGAGCCTGGGCCTTGTGATGCTTCCATGACTCCAGAAGTATATCCTGTATCCTTTGCCCGTCATAGATCGTGCAGCTGCGCAGTGAACACAAGAACATAGTATTCAGAAAGACATGATTCAACAATGACAATGCCTTGTCCGTGGATCGGTGATCTAAGGCTTGTCGGAAACACCTAAAAACAACTGGGCACTTGTGCCGTGAAGCTGGCTCCGACCCAAGGATCACTCCACACGAATCACACTAGACAGAAATTGGAAACGTTCTGATGGTCAGTACTGGTTAGTGTATGTTCGACTGGACTCAAGAGTGAAATCAATGATATCAATGCACCCTTTCAAGGCCAGTCTTGGAAGAGCCTTGTAGAGGAGGGGATTGGGGGGGATGGACGGGCGAGCATTTACTTTTTGATTATGCGGAAGCAAGAACTAGTGAGAATGGGAAGGGGTTGGAACCGAGTCAGAAGAACATAGAAGAACATTTTCCTTAGAAGAGTATTTTTTTTGTGAGCATTGTTGAGAGCCAGGCCAGTTGTGATGTATTTCATTGTTCATCATTTGTATGGGCCATTTTCTGTTTAGTGAATTCATCGTGTCACTTGTCTGAAACTGTTTTTGATTGGAGGAGCGCTGCTTGCTGGAGCCTGCACAGCTTAAACAGACTTGATCGGAATACATTTAGCGATGTGGAACAACGTGGATCAATGCAGAACGGAAGCTGGAACTGTCTGAGATGCAATTGACGTCCAAAGGCTTCAGACAGTTTTTGTCAGCTTCCTAGAATAGAACAAATTGCTTGGTTGGAAAAGTTACCAAATGTAATCTTCCAGGGTTCTAAGATATTTTGTTTTGCTTTTGATTCTTAGAACCTTGCTGCTTGCCACGGCTAATTTGTCTTTGGTTTTACTTTTAGCAAATGGAATCGATCCGTGCGTGTTTTCGAGGACTCCCTCTGATAGCATCCCGCACCGGCAGAGTCTTCAGATCCTTTTGTATGCACGCTCCACCGACAAATTTGGCTTCAGCAACAAGAGCGCTGGGGCGCTCTATGCATGGTGAAGAAACTGGCAATATTAATAGACACATGCACTTTGTGCAATTCGTGGATGTGCACCAGATGTACACGTTCGTGGGCTACACATACAATGTACGGTAAAACATGGTAAAACACACACACACACGCAAATCGTGGATGTGCACATGTTCGTGGGTAGGTGATCTACGATTTGTGGATGAGGCAAAGTCTTTCGATAGAAGACCCATACTTTTTGCAGGAAATGTTTTTGATTACAGAAGGGTACATATGTCATCATTTGTCCATATTTGTCCCAATAACTAGCCTGTTCATGCCTCTTCCATTTTCATGACAGTAGGTTTAATGCGCCCTGGCGGTGATGGCCGGGACTGGGTTCGAGGCTTCGGGTGGTGCTCAGTACAGTAGATTCAGTAGACGACAGATCACCTCAAATCGCTTTTCTGCAATTCTTATCTTGTCCATAGAATTTGTTCTTATCATGTCTTATCATTTTCTTATCATTTCTTATTCTATTTAATTACTGTATTCTATTTACTCTATTTATTCTATTTACTCTATTTATTCATATTTATTCTATTTATTCTATTTATTCTATTTATTCTATTTATTATATTTATTATGTTTATTCTATTTATTCTGTTTATTCTATTTATTCTATTTATTCTATTTATTATATTTATTCTGTTTATTCTATTTATTCTTCTGTACTATCTTGACATTCTTCGGTTTATTCATGTTTATTCACTCTCTTCGCTTTCTTTGCTTTGCTCCGTTCATTGCCACACTCACGCTCTTCGCTGGCAGGCCATATGTCTTTGCGGGAAAGCAGCACTGGTCCTGCGGAAGGGTGCGCCTGAGGTCAAGTTTGTGTGAGCTGCAGGGATTATTTTTTTGGCAGGAAGACGAAACCAGTCCTGGGTTACGGGTTGGCACAAATTTGGATTCAGGTTTGGATGTTTAGCAAATGAGGCCAGCACAATGAGCTGTCAAGCGGAAGGCAGCAGGTATGAATGGATGCGATGGAGAGGGAAGATCATGTCCTGAACCTATTTGAACTGCCTGACTTACGTATGGCCCAAGCTTAGCTAGGTATTGCTCAATGGAAAACAGAACCGACCATTCAACAAACTCAGTCGCTCAGTGCTTCTGGACGTTTCCTCTTGACCTTGACTTTGAAAGACTTCAAAAAAAATTGACATATTTTGGCTGGTTTTGTTGAATGATTGAGCCCAACTTGCCCTTAGATTTTCGTTGCATTGCTCGTTCAAGCTGCTTTCAAAGACTGGGCTTCACAGCAAATACGGCAAGCACGCATAGTCCAGCCAATATGTTCACTCAGCTTGCACCTGAAGCAGCATCGCCAAAGGCAACTCGACGACAGATTGAAATCGATTGTTGTTCAAGCTGTTTAAGCAAGCACGCATATATTTTCATTGTTTTTATTCGTTTTCCATTATTATCCCACATTTTCCTTGATTGACTTAACCGGAAACGACAGGTCGGACATTGAGTGTCTCAGACAAAGATGAAACCACCCGCAAACAAGTGTCGTTATATACATGTGATGCACCAGTCAAAACTTTGTTGTTTTAGAAAGACCCTCCACAATATGCTTTGGGAGCACCAAAACATGCAATGAACAGTCGTTGTTTTTTTTGGCATTTGTGCAACATCTTGAATTTCAATTAACCTTTGATTCATACAGATTGCATTTTCAACACGCTGGGATGTTCAAGCGCTCATTGCTAGCTGGCCTGCATTTGACCATCCATCGGAGTATAGTAGCAAACAGATATAACATGATATGTATAAACAGAGTTCAGGACGGATGCCATATGAACTCAATATATCTCAATATGATACTGGTTTTCTGATACTGGTATGATACTGGTACCATCTGGTACCAAGAGGCAAAGTTTCTGTGCTCAGCGCCATCCCGTGTTTAGCTCTGGACGCTTTGTCTGTGAGGCGACCTGCTGCCGACTTGTGAAGTGACCAGACATCGCCAGAACTGAGAATCCAAGCATCTCAGCCACTCGTTTGCTTAGGACACTAGCATAAGTTTTGGCACAACATTTAGATTATAGAAGTGACTTAAACATACTCAAACATATTTTGATTTTTGGAGCCAGCGGCTTGTCACAGCAACTAAAGACATAGGAAGACATAGGAAGACATAGGAAGATTGCTCGGCGATTGCTCGACGCATCTCTACGCCAATGTGCGCTTCCATTGGACCTTCCATTCAGTCCAAAGTGGCTACAGTGGCTATCAAGAGTCAGTCTTTGCACCTCGGCGCACTTTGGAAGGAGGATGATTGAGGCATAGGAATGTTGCGCGTGCCGTTTGCAATCGTTTACATGATGATTATCATCAACGGATTACGGATGCAGCTTTACGGATTAGTTTTACTAGCGTGCACACTTTGATGAGCCCAGTGATGATGCATTTGCAAGTAGAAGAACTTGGCTTTTGGCCAGGCTTTGCAATTCTGCTTGAGCTCCCTGCAAGAAACACTTTGTTTGCAATAGATGTGGTTGGAAGGACATCTTGTTTTTTCCAGTTTTTTCAGTAGAACGTGCGGATTCTGATCTTGCTTCATCTTGGAGTTCATGATAATGAGCCGTGAACATGAGAAAAAGATATTGAATTGTGGTCATCCTCTTCTCATCTCTTCCCATATTTCAAGGACAACTCAATGAACAGCCTTGGATTGGGACCCTCAAGCTTTGTCTATCATGATGTCAGATGATGTCCCTCCGTCGCTGCAGCAATTTGAACATGTTCAATGCACGATCACATTATATCACATTGTACATGAGATGACATAAGGATCATAAGACCATTTGGCGATGTTTCTGTGGGAATCCATTCCATTCCATTCCATTCCCCCCCGAGTTCCTTCTCCATGGCGATGTCTTTCCATGGCTTGTGCAGTGGCCCACAGTGGCCTCATGTGGCCTCTATTTGCCGAGGCCGGATTCTGCGCCTGGCATTTCAGTCCACGGTGCTGGCTTGGAAGTTGCCAATGGCATCTACGTTCGAACTGGCTTCAAGGTGGGAAGAATATGGAAGAATTGCGGAGCTCTGAAACTCTTTGTGCATCTTTGTGCTGAACTTCCCCGTAAACAGGGATGACCAGCTATCAACGACTATATACTCGAAGTTTACCGGATATGAACACATATGAAAACATTAATATATACGTATATGTGTATTATATGTATATATATATATACAGTATTATATAATATTATATACATATTATACCAAATACATCCAAATACAGTAGTCATCGGCCGATGAAGTTCTGAAGACCAGGTTGGCAATTCTGACGCCTTCCAAAAGCGTGGGACTAGTCTCGCGTTGCTCAAGAGAGGCAGAGCTGTGGGTTGTTTGTGGTCCAGATAATTCAGATATGACAAGAGAAACATAGAGAAGCATTAATAGAAAAACTACGGTTTTTCAAATGTTTTTTGCACTTCTGACTCAGAGGTCTCATATTCTTGCCAGGCGAAGGGCTTGATTGGAGCCTAGTGGACCTTGATGGCCAGTTGCAGCAATCTACGGAGGAAGACAATCCTGTTTGGTGCCCTCTGAGTCAGAAGTGCAAACGGACATCACTTCGTTCACCTGTGTGACTGTCACTAGAACCTGGTGTAGAAGTGAAGATTCCAAGCCGATCATGCCGCAAAAGAACTGTTTCAGCAGTCCAGTGGTTTGGCATTTGGATGTGTCATCGCCTCGAACGGATATTTGCAGAATTTGTGGAGACTGTCCGAGAGTTGTGCTGCTGCTTCGGCTTACTTAGACTACTTGTGAGTACTGGGTCCATGAGAAATATTGAGCTTTATCTACAAGCAACATCATGCAGCCCATATCCAATGACGAGCCTGTGCGGTTGGTTGCTCACGCTGTACTTGTTCGATCTTGTGTGTTATTGTTGTTTGCTTTCTTCTTGCGTTCTTCTTGCTGTTGCTTGTTTTTCTAGGTCCTGGGTGGTGCTATTGGTGTTGATGTAGTTGATGGTGGTGTAGTTGGTCTCGTCGCTGTATGTGGTTCTACGAATGTTCTACGTCTACGTGGCTTTACTACGTGGCTTTCTGTGGTTGTGTCTGTGGTTCTGATTGTTTTTGTACAAGTTGTACTGCTATATACTGCTATCTTTTGTTGTTTTTGTTGTTTCTTCAATGCTTTTTTTGTTCGTGGTGATGCTGGTGGTGCTGCTGCTCATCCTGGTGGTCGGGAGATTGTTACTTGTGGAGAGACATCCTGAGATTCGAATCAATTTCACTCGATTTCCATTGACTTACTGGAACTTGATGTAATAATGTATAAAGAGATTAAAGAGATTCTAAGAGAGAGCTGAACCGATTATACAATTACACATGCACAACCATACCATTCTGCTTGGGTCTCCTTGGCATTTGCATCCCCCAAAAAGCGAGACGGTGAGGCAAAGGGTGCGAACTCCAACAGTGCGTTTGCACCTGGCAAGCTCAGATGGAATCCATATTCCGTCACACTCTACAAGGTGCATTGTGATCATTGTGTTCCATAATGTTCCATAATGTTCCATATTGATCACATGCTGCATGGGAGAATGAGAGAAAGAACTCACTTTGTCACTAGAGTTCAACGGCAAGAAAAAAATCCCTCTACTTGGCGAATGCTTAAAAACTGATGTCAAGCTTTGTTGACATGACTTGAGACTGCATCCAGATGCTAGGTTGCTTCGACGCTAAACAGCGGAAACTGTCTACTCCCACCACAGGTGCACAAGTATGGGCAGGGCAGAAAGGAGAGTAAGAAATAATAAGAGTGCATGATGCTTAGGAGCCGGTCACTTTAAGACTTGTTTGGGGACAGACACATGAATCACATGATTATTGTACACAGCACGGATTTGTGTTTTAATCAGGGCTGAAGGTTCGGTAGGGCCATGATCTTGAAGACTTTGTAGACTGGAACTCTTGATGAGAGTTGCTGGTGGCTGTGCTGCAACATAGAACATGGGCTGCCTTTTTCTTATGAACAAAAATGGAACCCAAAGGTGCAGAGATTGAATCATATACATTATACATATATCATATTATATATATTATATAATATATATTATACATATATATATACATATAATATAATATAATATAATATATATTATTATTAATTATACTATTTAATACTATGTGAAATCTGATATTCAATTTGCAATTCACTCTTGGAGCGTACTTGTAGCTTGGCGGCCCGCCTGCCAGCTTGGCTGGGTTGTGGTCGACGGCCTGGCACCAGCTCCTTCAATGAGTCCATGCCAAGAAGAGAGCACCAGCCCCGCACTAAGAGCGGTTAAGCTGAATATAGCTGAATGCTGAGGCTTGACGTGGCTTGACACGGCTTGACTCTTGACGTTTGCGTAGCAAGAAATGACAATCTTTTGCACTTGATGAGAAATTTCGGAACTTGTTGGAATGTGAAAGTTGACAACATACTAAAGCAATCTAACACATACATATTGGTCAAGCTCCTTGCTAAGCTTGTCATATAATATCTTGTCCGTACATGTTGGGTGCAGAGGACCGGAAAAGATCCTGGCTGCAGCCATGCCCGGGAAGCTGCTCAAACGGATTGCAGCGAGCTCTCCGATGCATGGCGGCAATTTTGAGATGTCTTGAACCTTTGCACCAGTCTTTTTACACTTTTAATGCGTTTGACTATGTTTGACCCATTTCAAGAACCGTCTTTGAAATTCTTTGAATGTCTTGAACAATCTTATTTTGTTTCAAATGTGTTCACGGTTTTGCCTTATCAAAAGTGTATTCAGTATCCAAAGGTGCCGCGTCTTCCAGTGAGGCGGAGACCATTGATTTGCAAGACTTGCAAGACTTGCAAGAGTGACCCTGAAGATATCGAACCATTGTATATAAGTGTGTATATATAAATATATAAACATATACACATAAATGGCATTATATAATATTATATATGGCTTAAGCAACTCCATGAAATACGCTTTGTCACATTGAGAATTCCTGTTGGTGTGTCTGCGTTCAAACCTGGCCTCTCAGGAGTGCAGAAAAAGTGCAATCTTCTATCCACCCGCCCTGGAGGAATTGGCCCATCATTGGCAGTCTAGTCAGCAGAAATACACAAGCAGCATACTTAAAGTATTACTTTATGATTTTTATGTCTTGACTTTCCTGTCTTTCGTGACCTGATGTGTGGATTAGCTTCCTCAAGTATTGAATGCACCAAGAAGGCTTAAAACCAAAATTGTTCGGACTGGATTTCCACGGAAACATGCTGGCTAAGTAAAGCAGAATGTATTCGAACTTAAATGCTTGGACGAGTGAGTTTGGTGAGGACTGCTGTCCAGCAAAGCCTGCCCAGAGTCATCCGTTGGGGAACGTTGGAGACGTCAACAGCTCGGAAGCAAAATGCGAAGGCATTGACTTCGAGCTTCTCGCTACCAGGCATCGACCAAATATCTGTTCCTTTGATATAGTTTTGGCTTGGCAAGTCAACCTGCATCGTTCATGCCTTGCAGAATCTCTTAGACCTTCCCCAGTCTTTGTCTTTGCTTATCATTGCTTCTCGATGCACAATGGTTTAACCATGTTTAACCATGTTTAACCAGTTCAACCATGGTTGGATGCAGATTTCTCTTGTCCCACAGTGTTTTCTCTCGCAGATTTCCAGCTTGCGCCGGAACCTTCGGCTTCGTCAACCTTAAAAGGGAGGAGAATTCCGGCTCTGAAAGATGCAAAAGCTGGGGAAACTGCGAGATTCTCAGCGGTTTGAAGAAGCCACTGAGAGGAACACTCAGCATCCGAGATAATCTTTCAGATCTATTGTTTCAATTGACATTAGCCTTTCAGAAGATGTGTTCCCCCATGTTCACAGAACATAGTGGTCCCCAATGGCACCACAAGGTCTTGCTCGTCTTCAGCGTGATCCTATCACGGCCGAGTGTTCACACAGAATGGGGCGCTGTGTTTGACAAGCAACAGCTTGTCTCTACAGGTGTGGAGCTGAGAGATGAGATGAGATGAGATGAGATGAGATCAGAGTTGATGTGTCGCCCCAACAACTTCAGAAAGAGATTTAAGGCTTGACCAAATCGATTCATATTATCTCCTTGTTGAGATGAAACGTTACATTCAGTCATAAGTACGGCATTGGCAAATCGAGATAAATCGAGAATGGGGACTTGATAGAATCTGATATTCCCATCAGACTGTCAAATGTTCATTTGATTGAAGGTGCGCAAGTGGTTGCAATACAGATCGAATTTTAGATGGAAAGCTGCTACATTGATGACCCAGAGACCAAGCAAACCAAACAAAGGATGTACTGTAGCTGTCCGCCTGGATATTTTCCAGAGCAATGCCTGCAGGTAGAAGGGTCGTTTCAGGCATTGAGCCTCACACGCCTTTTGATCGTTGGAACACATGGCAGATGGCCTCGGCCCCAGTGAGCAATGTAAGACAGAAGTTTTTTTATGGTCTTCTGATGTTTTCTGCACTGCTTTGCCAATGCTGATGGTTGGAGCAAAGCTTTGGCAATGCAGTCAAGATATTCAAGCTGTGAATGTGCACTTAATTAGGTGCGTGGCAGGCAGGACATGTGCATCCGAAGAGGTGTTTTGCTCTCAGAACACCATACAGTTGAAGTATGTTGAAGTATGAATGTCACTTTCTAAATTTGTGCAGCTGTGCTTTGCTGTGCCATGCTGTGCTGTGCCAGAGTAAGGATCAGCTTTTAAAGCAAAACGGTGGCTGGGCCGGAGCCTCATCAGTCATCATGTGGCTTTGGACTTGTACTAGTTACTAGTTGTACCAAAAGGATCTGTGTAAACAAAAACTGGTGTGTGGAAAAAAGGTTAAGCGTCAGCATTCTGTGCATAGTCTGCATGGGCCTAGAAAGGTCCTTCGACAGTTCACTGCGCTTTCCTGGGATTCTGACCGTGATTTCATTGAGGCGTTCTCGGAAGTGCCACTGGAAAGCCCTGAGGGTTGAACACTTGGCAGATCTTGGTTGGCTGCAGGAATTTGTAGGCATTGTTTTGCCATGTTTTCTGCCATGTCTTGCCCTGTGGATCTTGATGGATCCCAATTGGAGGTGTGTATTACATGTAATTATTTATTTATGTAAATGATTGATAATGATTACAAGATCAGTCTAAGGTCGTGCGAATATCCGGCAGTCTGGCTTTCCAAATTTCGACTTAGCAGGCCATTTGTTGTGTACCGAGGCTTTGAGGACCTGTCAGGAATGGAAGACGACGCGGTGGAAGGTCAGATCTTTGTTTTCTTAGATGAAGGCAGAAACAGGCCAATCGTAGCACACGTTTGCATCAGCTTTGCATAGCTTCTCAATTTTGTCGCTAGGGGCTGCACATGTTTGTCCTTGCTTGCTTGCATGCTAGAGTAGAGAGAGAGAAAGAGAAAGAGATGCATACTGTAGCAGTTATATACATCAAGTCCGCGCCGCCAGGAGTATGGAATCTAGAATGCCACAAGATGCCACAAGGGTTCCCAGCTTCTCTGCTTTTCCCTGCTTCTTTGCTTCTTTGCTTCTCCGCTTTCCTGCTTTTCCCTGCTTTTCTCCCTGCTTGCCTGCTTTTCTGCTTCTTTGCTTCTCTGCTTCTTTGCTTCTCTGCTTCTTTCCTTTTCTGCTTTTCTGCTTCTTTGCATCTCTGCTTCTCCGCTTTTCTGCTTTTCGTTGGTTTTTCTGCTTCTCTTCTTTCTGCTTTGTGAATGCTTCTCTGCTTTTGTGGTTCTCTGCTTTTCCCTGCTTTTTGTTGTTTCTCATACTGTCGATAAAAGCTAAGAAACATCATATAAATAAACCCTAAAGTAAGCCAAATAACACCCTCAAACCAACTCTAAATAGATCTTAAATCACACCCAAATAGATCCTAAACCAACCCTCAACAAAGCTTAAACCAACCCCAAATAGGTCCTAAACCAACCCTAAAATAGATCCTTAACCAAGCTTAAATAAACCCTAAAACCAACCCTAGTAGATCTTAAACCAACCCTAAATAGATATTAAAACCAACCCAAATAAACCCAAAAACGATCCTAAAGCAATCCTGAAAGAAAACATAAAAAACCTAAATAGTCCTATGTACACCCTGACTGTAAAACCGACCCTTAAAAGAGCTAAAACCAAACCTAACAAAAACCCTAAACTAACCCTAAAAACCAACCCTAAATGAACCCTAGTTGCAAACTGCCATGTTACATGAACAGTTCGAGCACCAAAATATTGCAAATTCCATCGAACATGAGAGGTTCGCACTCGAAAAATGCTGCAACATACGGTTGAAATGGCAGCTTCCAGCTCCAAAATGCTACAATTTCCACCAAAATGTTGCAAATTCTACGGAAAATGAGAGGTTCGAACTCAAACATGTTGCAACTACCGTTGAAATGGCAGCTTCCAGCTCCAAAATGCTGCAAATAGTAAGGACAATGGACACAACAGGAAATTAAGAAACAAACAATTCCAGACCCTTTTTATACTATAGTAGTATGTATATATAATATGTAGTAATCTCACACATACAGCTTGTGACATGTACTTAAGATATTGCAAGTCTTGGCATTTTGTTTCGACAAGCAAGTTTTAAGATCAGGAAAAAAGACGACGAATCGCATTGCGCCCTGTAGACCTGTGACATGCAGTGGGGTTTCATGCAATTACATCACAACATACGTTCTCGCGCTCGCCAACCACTTGCTGTGTTGGGTCTACAGCAATCGCATTTTCACGTTGCGAGCTTCCTAAAGAGCTCTAAAGCAAGAGTCCTGGTTCCGCTTTACTTTTACATAGAACACACTACATTGATCTACACTGCAGATTTTTTGATCAAGTCCTCCTCCACATAGACATGCAGTGCTGGACATGCCTCTGCCATCCTTTGCCGACTTTGCATATCCTTACATCCAAACCCACTTTTGAAGTCCAAACCCGAACATCCCACAGCTCTGTTTGGCCTGTGGCCTCATTGGCTTTGGCTTAGAGTCAGAACCCCACCAGCCGACTATTGACTAATCATGACTAATCCATACGAACCTTGGCAAAAGAGCAGCGAAACACAGCAGCTCGGCGGGGATTGCGCTCTGTGAGGTCTTCACACGCCTTAACGCGATTCATATCAATTAATTTATTATTTGTATTTATTTGTCCCATGATTTCTGATTTGATCTGACTTTGATCTGACTTTGATCGTCATTGCTTTGTGAATCTATGCGCAGGTGTTTGTGACACGATGCTGGTCATGGATTTTGGTCGCTTTGTTCAGCGACCTTGTCCCCCACAGCCACCAAGGACGACGCTTCTGGTGTTTTTTCGGGGTACGGGTATGATTTGATGTGCTATTTATAAAATTAATACTGATACTGGTACAATATTAATTGATATACATTGATTAAAACATGATAAACATTGATATACTAGATTATATATTATACACACTATATCATACATACTGGTATCTGATGGGATTTATTTGTATAATATGCAGATATATATATATTAATATATATATATATGTTGATTGTGTCTTGTATTGTTTTATGGCTTAATGCGCCAGACAGGGTACTGACGTGCAGGATGGAGCCCTGGGAAGTCGGATATGGTCTCCGCGTTGAGATCGCCTCCCCGGCATGGAGTGCGTGGAATGCATGGAGTGCATGGAATGCATGGAATGAAGTTGTCAGAGAACGTTCAGCATAGTTCGGCAATGGTGAAGCAGCGACAGCTTGGGTGCAGGTATCATGTGCCCATCAAGTACCCATTGCAAGACTTTTGATCAGCATGTTCTTTTGTTTAATAATTAGAATTTAATGCTGTCAACGGTGTGGACTTCCAATTTTTTGTGAATTCATACTTGTAGCTTGCAGGGAAGGAGACGTGGAAATGATTGCACATCATCAGAGAAATCAGAGATGCACAAACCGTCGCATATTGGTATGTCACACGCAGACTCCGGAGGGGTGACTGGCTTCGAGTTTTTTGTGAAATGAGACATGAACACCACGCATTTGGTGGCACTTATTTTGGATATGGCAGGATTCGTTCTTGGCTGGGCCTTATGAGCACTAGCCCTGGATTGATGATGTTTTGATGCTTTTGCTGTTGGTGTTTTCGCAGTGATGTGTTTTGCATTTCACCCATTTCACCGATTCCACCTGCAACGTGCTGAGACATTTTCTGATGGCCAAGGGAAGATGTGTTGGCATGGGCATTGATCCTGAAGGAGGTGCCATGCTTCACTCAAAGAAGCGCCATGGAGTGCTTGATGTTCACCCAAGACCCGAAAGAAGTACCGATGATTGTGAAGTTGTGCTATGTCTGCTATGTATTGCTATTTTGTGCTGATGTGAAAGCCTGTTTGGAATGTTTGGAGGAAGTCGCTGATGCGAACTTGGGTTCAGAAACTTTGGGTCTGGTGCTCAACCTGTATTGTATGGTGGAGGCCTTGTTGATTCTCAGTCCTACGGTCCTACGTGTTTTGGATTCTCATGATCTCAAGCCACCAGGCAAGGCAGAAAGCTGTTGGAGAGCTTACAACAGCGAGTCCGGGAAGGTGGACTCACTGTGTGCTGCTGAAATGACCAGATCAAACTATGATCAAACATTCCAATATATTCCAATCAAGTCGAACTCGTCGAACTCTTGATATTGGAGCCCGGGAGCAGAAAACGCCAGCATGTTTACATTCAAGGCATATTCAAGGCATGGCATGTGCATGAATGGGCTGCCTGTATTTGTGTTCGAGCACGGGCAACCAGACCAGGTGCTTGAGTACGTGGAGGTTAGCTAGGTTTAAACACGGACTGCCCACATGCAGCCATGCAGTCATAGTTTAGAGAAATCTAGAGAACAAGCAGCTTGCAGGGGTTTAATTCAAGATATTCAAGTCACTCCAATTGCGCTCACAAATAGCCAGCACATTTAATTTTTTCTTTGACTTGGCTCGGTGTTACAAGATGTTACAAGCATAAAATCGAAGGTCGCAATTAGCATACAATATCCTGATATCCTGTTAAAATCCGATAAATCTTTAATCATGGCGATGTGCGATGAGTCGGGGGCACTCCTAGCAGACAGTGCCGATGAACTTTTGGAGAGTGACGAGGAGGTGCGCTGTGGATGCTTTACTGATCCTTTGGGAGACCTGATTGTGATATATTGTGATGCCGTTTCAATGCATTTGAAGACTTTTGAAGTGATGGAGTTCCCAGTAATGCGCCTGGGACATGAGCCAAAACTAACGGAGTAAGGAGCGTCTCAAGCATTGCCAACTTCTGCTCTTATCAACCTTCCCACTTCAATATTGCGAACTCTGTCGCTCTGTGTGTGTCGCTTGTTTTTGGAGTCAAACCCGACTGTTTTGACCATGTCCTTGTCGAAAATATGTTGTTTTTGTTTTCTTTGCGGCTGTGACATCATGGTCCTTGTTTTAGTTTCCTTTTTTGTTTTTGCTGCTGTTGCTGCTGATATTGTCATCGTCAGGGCAGTGGTGATTCTTGTCACCTCTTGTTGCTGCCCATATTCGGTAATTTTTCACAGGTTAGCAAGTCGCCTCTTCTCCCTTTTCTCTCCGACTGAGGAAATCCATGGAAATCCTGCTGTGCTCGACAAAAAAAAATTGTGGACGAATACATTTCGCATCTTTTAAGTTCCTTGTTCAATCTTCTGGCGATGTGTCTTGAAAATCTTGAAATTATCCTCAACGTGGACTTGAGCGGTTTGTCGTGAAACTTCTCAATATGATCTCTAATTTGGATTATCAAGTTGGCATATGTGGCAATCATTGATTCACATTGATGCTCTAAGCAAGGGTGTGGGAGGCTGTGGGCCCCTCATGCCTTTGCACAAGTGTGTTATGGTTTGTTATGGCATTTGCAGGGAGCTGAAGAGAAGCCAGCACAAGAAGTGCCGCCACGCGAAGTGGTTGTTTCAGGTCATGAGCCGAGGGAGTCCTTGCAACCAACTGCAAGTTGAGACACGTTGAGACATTTAGAGACTGTGACGTTGAGCAAAGTAAATTTGAGCATAGTAAAATCTGGATCTTGTCAATATCTTGCCAATCTAATTTTGAACATATTTTGAATGTTTTGGCCAGGCCAGGACCCTCGCGCTTTGGGCCTGGCCCTGGCTGAAGTCTATGGGGAGCGGACTCGGAGAGGTTTGCAGCATGCCAAGGACGCCTCTTGTTATGCTGGGAAGATGCCAATGGCAGGGTTTCGCCACCTCATATCTCCTCATATCTCCTCAAATTCATCGGCACTGTCGGATTCCAGTGGCAGACAAAGGATGTGCAGAATAAGATACAGTAGTATTACAGTAGTATAGTTTTTACTGTATAAGCACGTTGTAAGAGCATTTTTGTGCAAAAACAGTGGCCTTTCTTTGCATTCATTTGCCTTCGTTCTTCCGTTTCGAAGGACTACTACACAGAGTGTTGAACTGAGAGACTTCAGACGACTCGGTTTCCATATGACTCGGCTAGTAACGGTGGTGTCACTACTTGTGTATCTAATGTGTATCTAATGCCAACTCGTCAACTCCCCGGAGTTTGAGCAAGAGCCATATCAGGCCATGACCAAATCATACCAAATCTACACCAAAGTAAAGAAAGGGTGAAGAGGACAAAGTTCGACTAAGATTGACTACATATATCAATTAGATTCAATTAATTGGTTTGGCCACACATTGCACGAAATGCCCTGGTTGCAGTGACTCATCTGACTCCTTCGGGCAAAGGCTTCCTCCAATCTCGTGTTCAACAAAGCAGTGGCAAGACTTGGCTGCCCTCGCACAAAAAGGCATCCGTCAGTGCAGGAGTGTACACAGGTGATACAGTTCTTTCAGGTGTCATTATTGTCATTCTTTGCACCTGCATATCCAGCAATCAAAAACCGTGCTTGAGTCTTGCAAATTTCGGAATCCCAGAAAACGTCACGGAAAACGTCACAGAAAACGTTCAAAAGCGGACTTTCATATTCTTGGCTATTGTTGTCAGATCGTTGTCAGTAAGAAATAAAATTGAGCAGAAGAAGACAAAGAAAAGAAGAAGAAGGAGAAGAAGAGGAGGAAGAAAAAGAAGAAAACTCATGTCTTTTGTTGCTTCGACGCTTCGGAAATAGAAACGCTGTCTTGAGTTTTTTGTGAATGCAACGGGCCATGTGGCCATGTGGACACATGCTGAAACATTTTGCATGTGAAAGAACAACAACTAGTCAGCACTCTGGGGATCTGCAGGGACTTTGACAGTTTGGATTTTTTCAGCCATGACTTATTGGTGGGCTTTTCTCCGATTCGATTCAAACGTAGACGTATTTAGCGTATTTAGCCCAAATAGCATATGATAGACCATATGATATGTGTATGTATATATATATTATATTATATTAATATAGTTATATATATATATGTATACATACAGTATATAACACATCGTCTGGGAACTTAATGGAACTTATGCATGAGGCTTCCCCCAAATGCCCGACTGCGTTCATCGGTTCAGGTGCAGTGCTTTGCTGTCCAGCAGCGGCTGCCTTTTTCGATGGCCTGAAAGAAGGTCTTGGCTCTGCGCCCAAATCACAAAGGGATACAAAGGGACTGTGAGAATCTGTGTGGCTCCGGGAAATTGCGATTCTTTGATACTTTTTTGTCACTTTGACTTTTTTTTTTGTATCTGATTGTGTCAGATAGATCATGTTACGTCATTTTGTGTGAAAGAAACAGAATGTTTCTGCAGGACAAAAAGCGAGTTGGCTGGGCCGCCATTTTGGCTCAAGGGCCCAGCTGACTCGACACCATGCTTTCTTTTGTGATTCTTTGGTGTGCGGTCAGCTTCAATGTTTCCGCTCCAGTCAGCGGCAATGCGCATGCAGTCCATCCAGGAGTTGCGAGACCACTACCAGCTACCACCCGACCTTTGGGATGCTTTCACACAGGTAGCCGGGAATCCAGGCAACGACATGCGGCTATTGGCAGTTCTACCATCCAATGTTGTCAGTGCTGCCCTGGAACGAGCGCAACTCAGCGATGGTCAATATTTGAGCGCAGTTCAGGCTTCCCACGTGGGATTGGTGTACAGTTTGGCCAAACGTATCCAGCACACCCGAAGTGGAGGAGATTGGGACAATTGGTCGGATGGAACACCATTTACAGATCAAAGGACCACTGTGGAGCCGGCTGCAGCGAAGGATCCATCAACAGGAACCGATCGAAAGCTGAAGATGGCCCAGATCTTGGACCAGTGCGACGACGGGGAGTTTACCGTCCAAACGGAGGAGACACGTGCCAAGTGGTACCAGGCATATGTCTCCACGGTAGGGGGCTGGCCTCCGGAGGAAGAAGACCCGACCTTGGAGCAACTGTCAGCACTACAGAAAAGGTTGGTGACGCAAGACACGGCCCCTTACGTGGATTTTGCCATCTTTGTGCCATTTGGTCAAAGAGCCCTGAAGGCATCCAAGTTCCGGACATACACATTGACTGCGACCGGCTACGTGACGAAGGATCTTCCAGGGCCGGCCAACTTCACCCAGTGGAGAACCTGCTACAGGCTCTTGAAGACAGCCCTCATAATGCTGGATGCAGTGGGCTTGGCGGCGCTCCATTCTTACGAGATGGCAATGGAAAGATTGGCAAGGACGTATCCCACATGCTGGCACTTGATCTACAGCGCGGACGAGATTGCGAGGTCAGCCCAGGCAAACAGACTCAGATCACGCCTGGCTATGGAGATCCGTGCAGGTCGACCTGGGCCAGAAGGTTTCTCCCCGACAAGGCCGTGGGACTTCATCTATGGTGCTCTCGCTCGGGACGAGGGGTTCTGGCAAGCTCAAGTCCACACCCCTGCACTGGCGTGGATAGCCTCTGGAAGCAGAGGTACACCCAAAACTCCTGCAGAACAACTCGCAGTGGGGCATCTTCAAGGTGGTTTGAGCGCCATCGCACCAGTTGTGGAGAACTCCAACGGCACGAAGAATTCCAACTCCCCAGACACGTTCAGGAGAAGAAAGAAACGCAGGGGAGGGAGAGGTTCAGGAGGTGGAGAAGACCAAAGGCCTTCAAAAGCGGCCGCAACAGAAAAAGGGAAAGGAAAAGGAGGAAAGAACACAAGCACTCAGAAATGCTACAGCTGGAACAATGGCAATGGTGTCTGTGGCTCTTTAAGCCCTGGGCAGAAGTGCATGTCGAAGATTCCGAGGCTTCACAAGTGCACGATTTGCGATTCCCCGGGTCATCCAAGCAAAGACTGCCCGAAGAAGGATGCGTGAGGATGCATCCAGAAAGCTCTCATGAGACCAGCCGCAACAAGGCGAAGACCGAGGGCAAGACGGAGCAAACTGAAGCTTCAGCATCCTACTCATACACCTATGAGACGGAAGATGAAGAGGGCGAGAAGGGTGAAGATGGGGATCCTGATGATGAAATACCCCTCCAAGCCAAAACCATTGAAGAGTTCTATCAAAAGAGGATATTTATTTTCATCCATCATTTTGCAGGCCCACAGGACCCCCTCACATCGGCCATGCGGAATGAAGCCCTTCGACAAGGGATCCGACTAAAGGCCATCAGTGTCGAGAAGGCCAGCGGCACGGGGGATCTTCTTTGCGACGAACCGTACAACACACATGTTCGTTGGGCTCGTCGGGGCTACATTGATGCCTTTCACGCAGGATTTCCCTGTGGAACCTTTTCGAAACTTAGGTTCAGGAAGGAAGAAGGTCTCCCAGGTCCTGTCAGGACCAAATCTGAACCTTATGGAAGGTACACGAACAGTGAAGCCGCCCAAGCAGAATGCGACAGGGGAACCATCATGGCGGTGAGGGCGATCGACATGGCCTGTGCGGTGGGCGGTGCTTCGAGGATATCCAGCGTGAAGCCCATCGCAACGTTGGAAAACCCTCCTCCATCAAACACTCCAGAACATCTGGCTGCATGGGAGCTGCCCGAAATGGACAGGTTCAGAAGGTTGAGACCGAGCCAGTCTGTCATCTTCAACACGTGCAGGTATGAAGAGGACCTGGAGCTGGGGCGTCGACACTACAAACCTCAACAATTCGAAGGAACCCTCAGAGGGATGCAAACTCTGTCACTGGAGTGCACTTGTGGCAGCCCTGCAAACCATGAGGCCATAATAGGTCCGAAGAAGTCTAAAGCTTCAGCGACTTATCCACGAGCCCTATGTGAAGCCTACGCAAAGTTGGCCATCGAACACCTCAAGCTCATGGGGAAGGAGGAGTTCCTGAGATCCAGGATGACGTCTCTCCAGAAGACCATCGACGTGGCGAAGGCACTGGTGGTATATCGTGGAGATCAATTCGGACCAGGGGCAGACACACCGGAAAAGGCCTCAAGTTCAAGGAGAGTTCATTGCAGGTCAAGGACGCCCAAAAGAGTCAACTTTCCCTCGTGCAGCCCTCCGACACGAAGGGAATACAAAGCGGCCACAACGGACGACCGCCCAAGGAGTCCTGCGAAACCACCTCTGAAGAGACGGCGAAGGCATTCACCTCAAACCCAACCTGTCGCCCTCAAGCCTGCCAGGGACTCTGGAAGTACGCCTGAAGACTATTGGCAAGGAGGGGAAGGGAAACACGAGATGCTGCGGAAGAGCACAGCCAAAACTTCGGACCCCTCCATGATGGAATATATCGGCGGCATGAGGGATCCCTACAAAGTCGTACTCCCGAGAGCAACTCTGCTATCCCTTGGCATCAGAATCAGGGCTGGTTGGGAGGCCTTTGAGAGAAGACACAAAGGCGCAAACGAGGTCGCTGAACAATATGGGACATCAGACTGCACGATGGACCCCAAGCTCGTGAAGGAGTGGAAGGCAGACCTCAAAAGGCTTCTGGGCGCACATGCACCGCCCAATCTCAGAATGAAACCGAGGTGGAAGTATGTCTCCCCTTTGGATCCGGAGCTCATCGACGCCTGGGTGGCAAAAAGTGGCGACCCCGATGACGTGATCGGCGAGTGGGTGAGGAATGGTGCACCACTGGGCATCGAGCTGCCAATCCCCACTAGGGGCATCTTCCCAAAGATAGACGATCCCGATGCCATCGACTCCCACACGCAGAACGAGTTGGAAGACGCCGCAACTCAGATGGGCCACGGGGAGATCCTGAACTATTCCTCCGTACGAGACAACCTTGAAGACGCCAGAATCGAACTCGACCGCTACAGGAAAGAAGGATACCTGGCTGACGTCGACAAGGAGACCGTGCAGAAGGAAATGGCGCACGGGACCATCAGCAAGTTGGGTTTGATCCTGAAAGAAAAACCCGAAGGCGTCAAGCGCCGCATTATCCTGGACCTTCGCAGGTCAGGCGGCAACCAGAAAGCCACGTTGCCGGAGAGACTAGTGCTACCAAGGCCGCAAGACGCAGTCAACATGATCAGGGACGTCTACAACCAACGTCGTGTCAGCGGAGCAGACGAAGGATACACGCGAGAGTTGGTTGTGATCGACGTCTCGGATGCGTTTATGGCCTTGGCAGTCCACGAGTCGGAGTTGCCACACACGTTGGCTCCCAACGTCGACAGCTCAGACTTTTACATGTTCGTGGCACTGCTCTTCGGCTACAAGACGGCTCCATTGTTGTGGTCTCGAGTAGCCGCCCTTTTCTCCCGGCTGCTACAATCCTTGGTGCAGGGTGCTGAAGCCCAACACCAAACCTATCTCGACGACGGTCTGTGGGCACTACAAGGGAGCCTCAAAGAGAGAAACAGCATCCTATCGATGATACTGACCACACTGTTCGCCCTGGGCCTGAAGGTTTCTTTGAAGAAAGGCATGAGATCGAACCAGGTCCAATGGATAGGCGTCAGATTCACCATCACCGAAGACTCCATCGTGCTGGGGCTCCCGGACAAGCTCCTGAAGGACCTCATTGATGTCCTGAAATCCTGGCAAAATTCAGGCATGGCGCCCATCAAAGAACTTCGACAAGTCGCAGGGCGCACCTCATGGGTGTCAGGGATTTTGCCGAGGACACGATGGGTGGTCGCAGTCTTCTACAGGGTGCTGCATGAACGCCTTGCAGACGTATCCAGTGGCAAAGAAAGCGAACGCAGGGCACAACGAAGTGATCAACGGAACAAAGACCATCTCTTCACAGTCAAACAGCTTGAGCTTCCAAGGGTATGGCTGATCAAATACTTGGAAGTACCCATGGAGAAGCCGACGAGGCGCCTCAAGCTGGACATCACGAAGTACCCGAAGGCGACCATTGTCACGGACGCGTCACCTTTGGGAGCCGGAGCCATCCTGCTCATCAACAATCGCATCGTGCGGGCATACACGACAAAGATCACGCACAGAGATGCTCGCCTGCTGTGCTTCGAGGAAGAATGGGAAAAGTCCTCATCACAAGGCATTGCGGAAACCCTCTCCGTTTTGTTGGCCCTCAAGCACTGGAGCAAGGACTTGGCTTCGTGTAGTGTGGAACTGCAGATACAAAGCGACAGCTTGGTGGCATTGGCGACATCGAAGAGGCTGTCGAGTTCCACCTCCACCCTCAATTTTCTCGGAGCGGAAATCGCTCTCACTTGTGAAGAGATAGGATTAGAACGCTTGCGAACCTCGCATATCCCGGGTGCAGCAAACAAGACTGCGGATTGGCTCAGCAGGCCGGATAAGGTGGCCAAGGAGGCCAAGCCGGCGGAGCTACAGGACATTCCAATCCATGCAGCTACTGAAGGTCGTGGGCCGGAGTTTTATCATTTACCTCCCCCACAGCTTGCACCGGGACTTTGGCGAGTGAGTTCAGCGGCCAACAGCGCCTGGTCCTGTCTCAACTAACAGTTTTTCGAAGGGAAAATCAGCAGCCTTAAAAGACATTGAAGGCAAGTTTCATGACACATGGAAAATTTTTCTCCATGACACACTACCGCAGCCCGTTTTATCATGTCGGATCAAAGTCTCATCGTTTTTGGGGGCAATGCTCTTGCCACACGAGTGACACCTCCATGGACCTGGATACCCATGCTGCTGGTGCTGGTGATGTTGAGCCTCCTCCTCTGCTCCCTCATCGGCGCGATGGTTTGGTATCTATGTTGTCGCGCCCACAACAAACATCAAGAGTTCAAACGGACCAGCCAGAAGGGTTCCTCATCCGCCTACTCAAGAATCCTCCCAGTGTCGCGGTATCCCAAGAACGGCCCAGAGCTGGCGACATTCGTGACACGGAGGGACAATGTATGGAGAGAGAGGCAACTAGCGGGAAGGGACTGCTTCCTAATGCTGGATTGAACCTCAAGCCCACAATCAAGAGGCTTCCAGAATCAAACAGCACAAACAATGACACGGCAAACAATGAGGAGTTCGCTCACTTCACGAAGAACCTTTGGGGCGCCTATGACAAGGAATCCCAAATCGCAGACGCTGGAAAACACGAAACCACAGGGGAGGAGTTCCCACCTATTCCAACGACCGCCAAAGCAGCAGATTCAGGCCAACACGCAGGACCCTGGTGGCGAGATCTTCTCTCCTCTCCGGCCAAGAGATTGCGTTTGTCTTCGTGGGGAAGGAATTTAAGAGACCTTGCGTTACCCAAGTTCGAGTTGCCTCCAACGCCTAGCCCTGTCCCAGGTCCAGAGGCAAAAGCGAGCCACACCACAGGCAACCATTCCCTCAAACGGCGCAAAGACCTCCCAAAGAGGAATCCTATGTCCGGGATGTCGAAACCGTCACGAAGGAATGCACTCAAGCTGGCCAAAGCAAAGGGCGCCGTGGCAAACGTCATCGCAAGAGTGGAAGATGACTACTATGCCAACTCGTCCAAAGCGGCAAAGAACTCGAAGAGGAACACGGTGGCAGAGATCCTGAGAGCAGGAGAGGCCCCTTATCCTCTCACGCCGTTTTCCCTCAAGCTCATTGCAGGTACTTTGAGGGAATCAGGTTACAAATCAGCGAGTGCATACCTCATCGAAGCCAAAACAGAATACGTGGAACGCGGTCACTGCTGGACATCGCTGTTGGATCGTCATTTCAAGCTATGCATGACTGCGGCTAGGCGTGGTGTGGGCCCTCGAAAGAAAGCCGCTGAGGTGGGAGAAGCATCATGGGCCAGCCATTCTTTACTTGAGGATGCTTTCCCCCAGGGCATGAAGGTTGGCCTATCCTCGCATCTGTTCGCGTGTGGCGTCCATTGGATGATGAGGGAAATAGAGCTTGCAAGCCTCACAACGGCCGACGTGAAGTTCGACAGCGTGAACAGGCTGGTCACGCTCTTTTGGCGGGAATCAAAGAAAGATTCAGAAGGTTTTGGGCTCGCAAGAACCCTGCAATGTGTCTGCACCTCCGGATGTGATCTACGTTGCCCGTATGCAGTCCTCGAGACGCTGGCAAACTACGCTACGCTCAAAGGTGCGCAGAGAGGGTGCCTGGCTATGAACAAGAAAGGCAAACAAGCCTCTAAGTCGGAGCTGGTCAAGGACTGGCAGAGGCTTTATGGCGCGACCGTCACTGGCCACTCAGCCCGGAGATCAGGAGCTCTGCAATATATCCGTAGAGGATGGGCAGTATCCCAAGTGGGATACCTTGGACGCTGGAAGAGCAATGTCATCATGGAGTACGCGCAGGAAGCATTGGAATCGCTCGCGATCAACAACACCAACTGCTTCGGAAGTGACCCGCAGTTCCAGCTGGCACAGAAGCTCATCCAAGGTGACTCCAGCGTCGCGACACAACAGGCAGTCGATAAGAAGGCAGACGCTGAACTTGTGCACAGGTTACAGGAAGAGCTCAACTCGTTCAAGGTCGACACGAAGGGCTCTGAAAACCTACTGGAGAAAGCAATCCGCGAAGTGGAGTCGAAGATGAACACCTCCGGGAAATACCTCCCCGGTTTGGTGAGGTCCACCAAGCAGCAGATCATTCACCACAACGTCAAGACCTTGGTTTACGCACCACCACACGCATGGCGAACCAAATGTGGCTGGTATTACTACGCTTCGAATTACGAGTTTGTCGAAGGCGACCCCACGTTGGTGAACTGTGCGAAATGCCAAGCGTCAGCGCCAAGGCAAGGAGGTGGATCAATGCTGACAGGCATGTGAAGTCAGGTGGATGTTGGGTCAAAATGGGTCAGACAGATCCAAGACAATTCAACCAATGCCTCCGACCACTTCGAAAAACAATTGCGACAGTTGTGGGGTGGGATGGATGGAATGTAATTCATTTGAAGCCACTAGCGATTGTCGTGAAAGAAACAGAATGTTTCTGCAGGACAAAAAGCGAGTTGGCTGGGCCGCCATTTTGGCTCAAGGGCCCAGCTGACTCGACACCATGCTTTCTTTTGCCACACCCTCCCACCCTGGTGGATCAATGCTGACAGGCATGTGAAGTCAGGTGGATGTTGGGTCAAAATGGGTCAGACAGATCCAAGGCAATTCAACCAATGCCTCCGACCACTTCGAAAAACAATTGCGACAGTTGTGGGGTGGGATGGATGGAATGTAATTCATTTGAAGCCACTAGCGATTGTCTCAACCCAAAAGTATCCATAAGAGAACATCTTCTTTACAATGCACCGCATCGATTTGTCAACAAGGCTGGGATGTCTACGAGACCATGCTGGACTTTGAGGACTTGCTCTCAGCATTTTTAAACTGTGAAATTCACTGAACAGAGCTTGACAATCCAACACCCTCATCAGATCTCATGAATGAAAAGGTGTTTTCACATGCTTTAACATGTATTATTTTTCGATGCTCCCTCACTTAGGGTTCGAAACCGTTCGAATGCGTCAAAGCTTCCAAACACTGACTCGACATAAGTGCAGTTGCGCGTGTGACTCGTCAGACCTCGACCACTGTTTGCGGGGAGGACACTCTGTAGCCCAGATAACCTTCTGAAGTGCAGGAAGTACGCTGTGGATCAAAGTATCAAAGGAAAACGACTGCATGAGCTTTCCAAGTTGTTCATATAATTTCATATTATAGATATATATATATATATTAATATATAGTTGTTCTATGTATTCATGTGCAGAGTACAATATTGTACAGTAATCCGCCTTAGAAAGAAGTCCGAGGTGTACACTCTGGAGCTCCAGCGCCGTTCGCGTGACGAGGCAGGGGCAGTCATGGCAAGTCATGGCAAGTCATGGCGAATAGAGAGGAGCATGGAATAACATTGATAGCATTGCAGGATAGCAAGCTGCACTGTGGAATGCACTGCAGACGCAAAGTTGCAGAATGAGACTCGTGAGCGCCAGGCAAGGCAACGCAGAGCTGTAAGTTCCTCCAGTGGCAGCAGCCGAGCTCTCAGTCATTCAGAATAGACGGCTGACAACTGTTGACAAATAAATGTTGACATTGTTGACGATGTCTGAAAAAAATCAAGTGACTGCTTTTTGTGTTCAGCGTGTTGAGCAGGGTGGACCTGGGACGCGCGTCCCTTCACACCTGCAAACACTGACGCGACATGTCTCGGCTTTCACGAAGCTGCGCTGTTCAACTGCAAATTAAAATATTGAAATATATTGAAATAAATTTAACATTCTGTGATATTCCATGTGCGGTGTGGAGAAACAGCTGGGAACCTACAGGGAACGTCAATTATCTTAATGGTTTGGCCACCTGCTGCTTCTGAATACTCCACATTCGAGCTTCAGCACATATTGCTGCGTGAACATATCGTATCAGATGATGAACGATGTGCTTTTGTCGTCGGATACATCGGCTCGACATGAGAGAATCGTTAGTTTAGCCCGGTACACCACCTCCACCACCACCACTTCCACCACTTCCACCACTTCCACCGCAATAGCATAGGCTACCCACGGCCATCCTGTTTTAATTTATCTTAGATTTCCCAGGCAGCGAAAGCTTTGTGGAGGTGAACTTAGGCGATGAGTCGCACTCCTCAGAGGCGCCCGTTTGTCACAGCCTAAAGTCCCCGAGATCCCCAAGAAACTCATGCAGAGTCTTACACGATCTTACACGTTTTTTATGTTGAGGCTTGAAAGACTTTGAAAGGATTTGAAAGTCCTATAGTATGTAAATATATATATATATATACATGATATACATGTTGTACGGCTTCTATTGAGGCACGATTTCAGAGGGGGCAGTGGTTCAAGTACCCTGATCTTGTGGCACATGAAGATGTATAATGATGTATAAAGGACATAAAAAGAGATATCAAAACAGTACATGTTCAAGCTCCAGAGTTTTGTGCGTTCAAGGAGAGTGTGGATGAACCCTGCGAGAAGCGGAAGAAGCTGCCCAAGAACGGAAGATGCCCGAATCCCAATGTTGAGAACGTGTACCTTGGTGCTGAGCGGAACTGAGCCCCCGCAATCGGATGCAGTCGAGTGGAAAGTGCCTGAAGATCTTGACATATCTTGACGATTTGGTTCAAAGGTCAAAACAATCAAAACACGTCGAGACTCAGAATGGTCCAGTTTGATCCGAAATAACAGGCACTGGCTTCGCCATTGCTGGCGACACTACCACCATCGGAGGCCTGATTCTGTGGTTTCAGAAGTTGGAATTTCTTTTCGGCATGAAGGTTTCGCATGTCAAGGCGGTGGAAAGAATAGGAAAACCAAACACAAAACCATAGTGATTTTGTCAACAAACTTGGGGTTGTCATTCTTAGTTCCTCATCTTTTGTTTTGTGATGTTCGCAGGCATCAAGGTTGTGGCTGAATCTTTTTCATGGATTCGGTTCTTCACTTGTGGAGGTACAGGAAGAGCAGTGTTGGCATCGCAGACAGTTGATCTTCCAGGAATTCTTTATGGTTTCTTTGTTGCAAGTGGAATTAGGAGACAAACGTCAAACAGCTTAAGAAATGATATGCTGTGATACCGTGATACCCATTCTAATCAATCAATATTTGGAGAGTTGCTGGGATTTATGGGCAAAGTATATGGATATAGAAGCAAGAGGCTGTTTTCACATGTTGGTATGACCTACACGGGCTCTACACAAGTAGCAGAGCTTTCAAGAATTTGTTTTGGAACGTGTGGCTGTGACACAAATATGTGTACATGTCATACACTTGATCGGTTGTGACTTATGTGCAAAAATAATCAAAAATACACATATACTCAAATCAGAGCTGGCATTTGTGTCGAGCATCTTGACTCGTCCACGGGTTTGTTCTCTTCAAAACTTGCTGCCAACCTTGCCCCCTTCGTCCAGCGAGGCTTTGGCGATTTTGATTGCGCCGCATCCTCAGAGAATAAGATTAGATAGAATAAGCATGGTTTTCTGCCTTACACGGACAAGGGGTAAAGTGAACAAGAATGATTCATCTCCGATTGATTTGACAGAAACGCAGAGACACTCTTGCTAGCGTCTTTAAGGACAAGAGGATAGAGGGTTTTTATTCTTGAAGCAGTCATGTCCCAAAGGTCCCAGAGGGTGTCTTTTGAGCTGGCCAGGGTGAAACCCTGGGGTGCATTTGAAACCCAGATATCAAAAAGATAGACGAAACAGAGACACCAGCCATGAAGTTGGGCGTATTTTCGCATATTCCGGGCCAGTCTTGCAATAAGCATTGATGAAATCGATCTGTTCTTGAGCCTTTGCGATCTACAGGTTTTGAGACTGCAGCTCCCCTCTGTGGAGCTTCTGGTTTACGATTCAGATGGCAGGCGAGTTCCATCTTGACAGGTCATGCCATTGCAAGTGTTTCTGAAACTCACAGCTATGACGAGCCAGTTAGCGAGATGCTACCGCGCATGCATTCTTCGTTTACAAGGGCCCTTTAAAAAAAATATAATAAAAATAAATTGGGACCCTGCAGGTTATGTCCGGTTGGTCTGAATTCGGCCGGCCTGGGGATCTGCGTCTTCAACTTGCACGACAGGTCGGAAAAACAACAAAGAACGCATGCATCATTATGGAATGTATGGAGCTTTTGTATGCTTTTGCGATCTTTTGCGCCTAATTGCTTGAAAGATCTTGAACGATCTTGAAAGTAGTGAGTCAAACAGTCAGTGTGAGTGCAACAATCAACAATGTGCACTTCCACCACAGCATGTCAGGCAAACAGATGGCTTTCAGCAACCATCACTGAGTGTACAGGCAGGGCTGACGATGTTTGCTTCCTTGTGGTACTGAACAATTTGGTCTCACGTCAGTGAGTAGATCCATCATGAATATCATGATCCATCATGCCTTCCCTTATGCGATTGGATTATGTTGGACTTTATTTTTCCGTCTCCGCCTTGTTGCGTTCTTTCTGTTGTTCCTTGAGACCGTGGTTTGGGAGCTGCTGCTGTGTGGCCATACGATGAGCTCAGCCTTGACATGGCTGCGTGGCCTCGCTCTACAGCCGATGTGTTTGGATCCCTAAGAGTGCCCCTTGCTTTAGACTGTGCTGTAGATGTTTGATCTCGTGAAGGCCATTTCAAAGGGGCACTGACAGTATCGTTTGTCAATTCAAGATGTTGCACTTTCGTCAGACAAGTTCCATGATTTTCCCTCGTTTAGTTTATTTTTAAGTACATATGTTTGACGATGTTGAAGTGCTCATGAGCTGAATACAAGACTGCAGAAGTGTGGAATCAATTCGGCCCACGCATGACTGCCTGATCAGACTTGGGATTGCACAATCATAATCCAATGCCTCTGACGATAAATTTTAAATATCTTTAAATAATTTTAAATAACTGTAAAGGGTAGTTGCCTGAGCAATCTGAAACGCATCCACACACAGCCTAAGAAAACCACAAGGGCCAAACATAATCGATAGCTGCATGTTTCAAAGATCATGTCGCCCTTTGCTGCATAGCATATCTTTGCGCATATTGCTCCAGTTTGCTTTGAAATTGTTTTAAACCCTTGGACTCTGATAGTATAGCAACGCAGATGAATGTGGAAAACATGCTAGATTGAGGTTTTACAGTTCTTGCGTTGCGTTGGGGAGAGTATCTGGCACATTTGTAGTACAATTCATAAAGCAAAGATGTTGTAAACGACGGCAAAGACAACAAGGTGGCACACAAAACAAGACGTCGTACAGTGCATTGAATGCCGGACACAGAAAATAAGATATGCAAGCGGTTTGAACAAGAAGTCCCAGATTCCTACCGGAGTGGAACTAGTGGGGCTAGTTCGGGATATTTGGGATATTTGGCAGACTCAAAATCATTACAACATCTCCGACTCCCCTCTAACCATCTCTCGATATCTCTCGACTCCCGTTTCAAGAAAATGCTTTTGCAGCGCTTCCAAAGCGCAGACGCTGCCTGGCCCTTCCAGTCCCAGGTGGCAGTGCCTTGCTTTTGGTGGATGACTCTGGTGCTGTGACAGTGGAACTGAACCCAGGTGGGACAGCAAAAAAATATCAAAACATATTCAGAACGAGCAACAAATATACTTCAGTGGATGACTGCATAAGTGTTCTTTTTTCCACCGTTGAATGTTGAACAATGTTAGACAACATTTAAACTTTTAACATCTATCATCATCTATCTTAATCTACATTTTATATAATTGTTTCCGCCTCGTTGCTGCAGGTGGGCCGGTGATTGGAGAAGTACGGCAGGCAGAAGCAGTGTGGCTCCAAGTTGTATTTGTCATGGCAGGGTCATCAAGTCAATGAAACAAAGGGGCACCAACAGGTTTCAATTCGAATCTTTGACCTTTTTTGTGGAAGGCACAGAGCATGTCCTTGGGTGAATTAAGCCGAAGCGTTGGCATTGTGGGGTGAGAGCTGCTATTCGATTGCACTTGCCAATTCTCGGCAAGGTGGCCAGATCGAATCACCCAATATTGCCCGAGCCGCTCTGCTGAACAGTGATGGTTGGGCAATTCTGCAAGTTGATTGAAAAAGCTTGACATGTGCATCATGAGAAATCATTCTTTGGTTTTGTTGTCGTTTGTGCCAAAGAAGTATGATTGTGCAATTATTGTGCAAAAGTCTTGGACCGAATGAATTCAGTGAATTGCTTTGTTTTGAGATATGCGGCTCAGGGACGTAAATTTGCCTCAGGTCCAATGCAACATTTGGAGGCAACCGAAGAGCACATCTTGATTCTCAGCGAAGACTGGAGGCTGGTTGTCATCCGGCTGAGGGAATGGTCTGGGGATGTCTAGGGCCTTTGACCTGGACAGGCAGTCCAAAGAGTGCTGGAACAGCGGGCTACAGAGGCGAGCTCAACAAGAACAAGTTATACAGTTTTACAAGTTTCTAACTTGCAAAGGGAAAGTAGCTCGGAAAGTATGGAAAAGATTGGAAAAGTCCTTTTTTGGTTTGGTGTGACTAGGACGTGAACATGTCCAACAGGTGTTTCGAAGGCCGTATCTTGCACATGTGGGCTGAGCCGTTCCAGGTTGCTGCTCAAGTAGATGCTGCTGCTGCATTGTCTATTTTGAGGCAAGGAAAGAGCTCCATTCCAATCTTGCACCGCCTGGTGTTATGTTTTTTTGACATCTTTTTAAACAGTTGTTTACACATGTTAGAATCCATAGTGCAGGAAAGGTGCAGGAAAGGTGCAGGAAAGGTGCAGAGAGTGTAGATGTGCTAGTTGCCTTTGGGATCCTTTGGGTGTCATCCTGCAGCGGATCGCAGGAAGGCCAAGAAGGTGAGAAATCTATCTACTTTAGCTATCATCTCATTGAGCCCTCCACAAGGCAAGATGGGTGCAACATGGCAAGCAGAAGCTGTCCCGAATCTGCAGCATTTGGAGTGTCCACACTTCTGGTTGGACATGCCTGGGGATGCACTACATAATGTTTTTTTTCAAAACACAGGATTATATAGATTGATTAGATTGCTGGCCCAACACACAGCATGCACAAGCACAGCGACCGTCCTTTGCTCACACCAGTGAAGCCCAGCAAGTGCCAGGGCTTGGACAGCAGAAAGATTCAAAAAGCAAGTTAACAATTAAAAATATTAAAAAAATATTAAAGATAGTTAAAGAACGTAAAAGATGGTTGAAGATTGTTAAATAAATATTAAAGATATGTTAACGTTGTTGTATATAAGTTGGCAAAGTACTGCTTTTGAAGGTGTTTGAAGTATTTCGACGTGCTTTTGGCCTCCACGGAGTGTCATGTTTCAGGCCAGTTGTTGGTAGAGTCGCGACCTCGGAGATTCGCGTCGTGCAGTAAAGACTTGCGCCACGTTGGAGGGACTTGATGCAATGTGAATAATTACATTGGATACAGTTCAGGACAATACAAACATGGACAACTGGACATCCCTGACCTCCCATATTTGGAATGTGTTGTTTTTTCTTGCGGAAAAAATGGAGGTTTGATTCATGAGATTTCTATCATTTATATCGAAATTCACGCTCTAGGCTCTTTCCATGTCTTTTGTCTTTTTTCTTCCCGAGGTTCAGAGAGCGCCAGGAAGTTTCGGCATCTGAAGCTGCCCGTTTTGCAGTAGAAATGAGCCTAGCGTGATGGCCTCAGTGCTTGGAAGATCCAATTGAATCAATTTGTCAATTTGATATATATAATATAATATATATATAATATATATATAATATATATATATACACATTATATTATAATATATATGATATTGTATATAACATGTTATATTTGATTATTTACTGACAATGTGAGCATCACAGCTGATTTTGAAAAATGGGTCCTTTTACACCGAGGCCGAAGATCGTGGAACGAGCACTTTCACAAGGGGGTCTTCAAATGGAGCATCACTCAAAACGTCAAAACGTGAGAGTCAGTATAATTTCCTCTGCTTGGTGCTTGGTGTTCCAGATTGTTCGAGAGTGAAACAAAAACAGCACATATGTATGATTATGTAACATAATGTATGTATATATTAAAACAAACACATACATTCATACATGTGCAGCATGCATAAACAATATAGACCCTCCGCACTCCAAGGAGACCAAACGACAAAGGATGAGTTCTGGTGAGACTGCTTTCCATGTGACCCGTTGGGCACACCATGCCTTTCAGCTGTCAGAAAAGCCAAGTGCGAAGGGCGCATGATGCTTTGCAATCAAATTGACATGAAAAGAATGAAGTCTTGATGCTTCGAATGAGCAGTCAAGTTCTTCGTTGCCATTCAAGACAAGATGGATGATGCTCAGTTGACTTTGCAAACTTGCCTTGGCAACTTTCAATCTCTAGACGCCTAGTCCAGGGAAAACTTGGAGCAAGTTGGCAGTCTTGTGCAGGTCAACCCGATCATTCATGATGTCGAGGTGTGATCGGAAAGTACAGATTTGAGGAAACTGAAGCAAACTTCTCCTGCAGCGCATTGGCATAACTTTCAACAAATATTGTAAGATATGTGCAGAACAAGTCAGGACACATTTAGGAGATTGGCGAAAGCTTCCTTGAAGATGTTGAAGATGCATTGAAACGGGCTGAGATCAGGTAGCTGCAATCATGGCAGATGGAAGAGGACCCATCTCTTTGCTTCTTGCAGAAGGAGTGAAGTGAGGGTCTCAGATTGTCTCACCGTGCAACCTTGCTTGGTGCTGTCTCCCAGTTTGAAGGGATGCCAGGTAAGATCCCTATGAATGTGAGGACCTTTGTCCATCCAGATTTGAGGATTCTGTCACAATCATTTTTTCATCCTTTTCATCCCTTTTTGTTTCATTTTGTTTCCTTGTCGTTTCATTTTGTCGACATCTGTCAACATTCTGAGACAGGCCCCTTGCTCGGATGGCACGTGGCAAATGTAGCGAATCCATCCTCGCAAGACTGCCTCATTCAGAGTTCTAAAATGCCCCATGTGTACACTGAATATTGTAGATATTGATCACATTTTTATTACATGTTATTACTATGTATACACATGTGTATGTATATATATATATACAAACACACACACACACACTTTACAAATTAATTATGCATATAGTTATATAACAATGATATACCTTATATTATATGTATGTATATATATATATGTATGTATATATATATATGTATATATATGTATGTATATATATATATATGTATATATATATATATGTATATATATATATATGTATATATATGTATATATATATATGTATATATATACACGGTTAAGGGCTCAAATTTGGTGTTGGTCACGCGGTGTCGGCGAGAGAGGCAGCATGCAACATGGAATGGCGCGAGACAGCTGTAGAAACTGAACGCGTCGACAGGCCCCCCCTACCTAGGGAGGCTTCAGTCCACGCCAGCTTATGGGGCATAGTGAGTTCAAGTGTCTTGATCCAAGCACGCCTCCCCGAGCTCCGCAACCATGCTCCGCAACCACGTACATCCAGCACAAGCAGCAACTGCAACGGAAGTACGGGGTGTCAAGTTTCTCTTCCCATACGGTGTGGGTGGGATAGCTACGTACTCTTGCATTGCTGCTGTAGAAGCGCCGCTTCTACTTGTGCTACTGTAGCTACTTGTGCTTTTGCAGCTCTGTCGTCTTACACACTGGAAAACACCAGGTCTAAAAAACACCGTTTTTGAGAACGTCCGAAGCCATAATATATATATATATTTATGTTGTGTTGGTTTAGTTTATACTATATTATATTATATTATGTTTAATCTGTTGTGTATTATATATATATATGTGTGTGTATGTGTGGTTTCACATGTTTTTTTGCATACTCTTTGCGATCTTTATTTGAGGTTTTCTGAACTTTTCCTCCTTGGAAGCACGATGCAGGGTAGACTCGACCATCATTGAAAAGCGAAATTGTTGGCCAATTCCACAACTGTTAGCAGGCATCGAACCGACCAGGCATAGTTTCTATGAATTTAAGGGAAACCCTTGCCAAACTTTTCCATGCATTAGTAACCCCATAGTAACCCCCAGGCGAGGCAGTAACTGGCAATGTGATGTGATCTTCCAGTTGGAGGAGATCATCCGAAATCATCCGAACTTTCTGTTGTCCGTTTCTTCTTGCAAGTTCCTGAGGACTGGCCGCACCTACACGGCATGCTTGCTGCTCAGAACATGTTTGAAGGGCGCACTGATGCACAGAATGTCCAGAGAAATGAGATTCAACCGAGTTCATCCCATGCAGAGCCAAGATAAACAAGCATCTTGTTTTTTTGGATTTTGGAGGTATTGCCATGCTCACTGACGTCGGTTGGTCTGCAGGGAAGCACAGCGAAGCTATGTGCAATTGTCTTCCACAGCACATGGTCGCTACAGAAGCCTGATGCCTCCTGCTTCATTCTGCAGCCAGTGGCGAAAACTGCCAAAGGCTAAAGTGAGAACGGTGAGAAGAGTGGCAAATTGATGAAATTTGCATTGCTCTCGTTGCTCCTAGACCCAGGCATTCTCGTATCCCTCGAGGCCACGCTAGGGCAGTGGACAGAGGATAGTTCATTCTGCGCACAGCTGCACCGCAAGTTGCAAAGATTATGTTAATTGGGACTTTATTCCAACATATTCCAACGATGGCAACACTTTGGACTGCAAATCATGCTCCAACCCTATCTAGTCTAGAGTGCTCTCATGGAAAATCATTCTTGAACTCCGCCATGAACGAAACAGCATTTGCAGCGACTGTACACCATGTGGCCATGTGGCTGAGTTGAAATCCTGGCTAGGTCAGTGCACGTGAAGCAACGACCTGGTCTAATGGACGGCATTCTTTCTTTGGTCCTGCCCCCTGAGGTCGGGACAGCTTGGGGACAGATGGAACAGCTATGGACAAATGCAATTTGAGATCGAGCTTTGTATGTGCATTGACATAACGACTTGACTCAGGGTTTGAAAGTTGCTCAAGGGGCACACAACCTGCGACCGTGCAAACTGGTGGTATTGCTGGTTCGCCTCGTTGATGTTGCGAAGGTTGAGGGCCAATGATTATACTATATAATTATACTATATTATACTTATACGGGGAGAACTATGTATGATATTATAAGACCCACTGTCGTTCCGCAGGATGAACAAATGCTGATGATGTCCGCGCTTTCGAACCTGAAGAAAAGCGAGCCCAAGCGAGCCTCTACTGCATTAAGATTCATTGAGCCGGCTTTGGGACCTGCAATCTCTGCCTGTTGGAGTCCTTTACATGGTCCCAGAGTTCAAGGAAATGCTTCTGAGTTTGCAAGCAAATCTTTGAATCATTGATTGTACGACGTGGTTGGTTGTGGTTGTTGTTGCTGTTGTCGTCGTCGTCATCGTCGTCGTCGTCGTTGCTGCGGTTGCTGTGGTTGCTGTGGTTGCTGCGGTTGCTGTGGTTGTTGTTGTGGTGGTGGTTGTGGTGGTTGTGGTGGTTGTGGTGGTGGTGGTGGTGGTGGTGGTGGTGGTTGTGGTTGTGGCTGTGGTGGTCGTGGTGGTTGTGGTTGTGGTTGTGATGGTTGTGGTTGTGGTTGTGGTTGTGGTTGTGGTGGTGGTGGTGGTGGTGGTGGTGGTGGTAGTGGTGGTGGCTGTCGTCCTGTGTATTCAATTCAATTGCCCCCAAGTAAGTGGTGTCATATAACCTTGGAAATGAAGCGTAGAGGCGGAGCACAAGAGAGCAGTCCTTTGTGCGTTTCTTATGCGAAGGATCGGTGCCATTCTTCATTCTACCTTCGCATTTGCCGAAAGCTCAGACTCCATATCTGGAAAAACTGGGAAAAGTGAGGCATCTTAGTTTCAGTTTGCTTTTTGGACAATGGATGACCAGTTTTGAATTTGAAGCCCAAAGGAAGCGCCTTAGCCTTTGTGAATTCTTATTATGACTCATAGGCATGCGTGTTTGTTGTCTAAGCTTTTGGATGGACTTTTCCACAATTTCCACAGACATTTGTTTCCTATCGATTCCTCATGTCGTGTCACGTCGTGTGATCCAATGTCATCCACAAAGCTCTCGTCAAAGGAAACTACCTAAGGCAACCAGGCTTTTCAGCTCCAGTTGCCACGAAGAGCAGCACGATGGATCCCTGTGAGCCTGCTGCTCAGAGCCTCTGCTCCAAACTGCACATGGCCAAAAGTTCAAGGGCCAGCCCAGACCAAGCAAGATGATGCAAGAATATGTGTAGATTAATACAGCCTGGCAAGGCCACAAGAGACTTTTCATGGCCTCAATCCCTTCCCACAGTTCAAAGCGAAAGTTGGTGGCAGCACTACAGGCTACTTAGCAAGCGGAGACTTCTTAAGTTGCGCCCTTGGCACTTGGGTTCAGACAGTCAAGCTCGAAGCAGAAGGAAAAGGATGGAAAAGGCACATACGCAGATACGCGCATGCCATGAAAACGCAGAAGCTAACAGTGAAATTGGCTGTGTCAGCTTATGAGGATTGAATGTGCAACTGCCGCAACCCTGAGGATGTCGCTGGTTTTGCCTAATGGTCGGCCAAAGGGCTTGCATGTCGCAGAGGAAGGTGCTTGGACTGCTGCGGTTGTTCAAGCATAGAAGTGGAATTAGTTGGATTCTGTTTCTATACCAGTAGTACCGCACAAGGCGGTGGCGGAAGTTTCGAGGGGTGAGTTGTTGTGATGCATGGATGGCAGAGCGAATCCACTGATGGACCGAAAGGTGGTTGGAGTTGTGCTTTTTGGAGTGGTTGCAGTGGTCACCTCACCCACAACAGATGAAAATGGTGTGGTGTGGTGTAGTTGTAGTTGTAGTTTATCTACTATCTGTCTATCCGTTTATCTCTCGTCTATCTGTCTATCTGTCTATCTATCTGTCTGTCTATCTATCCATAGGCCTGTCTGCCTATCTATCTGTCCGTCTGCAAGCTTGAAAACGAAGCTATTCTGCAAGACTTCCTGAATTTTTGAATTTGACAACATCAACAGGCAGCAAGTCTGCGAGACTTCCTGAGCTTTTGAACTTGACAATGTGACAACATCAAAAACGCAGCAATTGTGCGAGACTTCCTGAGTTTTTGAACTTGACAATGTGGCAACATCAAAAACGCAGCAAGTCTGCGAGATTTCCTGAGTTTTCGAACTTGACAATGTGACAGCATCAAAAACGCAGCAATTCTGCGAGGCGTCCTCAATTTTCGAAGTTGACAACATCAAAACCAAAGCAATTCGGCGAGACTTCCTTCAAAACTGGAAGGTTGAGTGCAGAGCTGACGCCCTCGTCGTACCAATGCGTTTTGCGATTTTTCCATTCCATCTATTTAAAGTACTGCGTGTGCCACGAAAAAGTGAGGCCAGGTCATACGAAGTGCTGCACCTGTCACGCAAAATCATCTTAGCAAACCTGAAGATCCGATGCTCCAAAATGCAACCCCTCTCAGGAAATCAGCGCCCTGACCCCCTAACATTTGATGAGCAATATATATATATATACATATGCAGGCATATATTTGTCATTTTTCATGTTTTGTTTGTTGAGATACACATATGATTTGAAAACATGTACAATATATACATAGCGTGCATTCTTTCATACTAGTATATTTATATTTCATACATAGTTTGCATAGTTTTTCTTTGCACTAATACATGTGTGATCATGTGTATACACTAGCAAAGAAATATTTATATATATATATATTTAATTATTTATTTACAATTATATTATTATTTACAACATACACGATTCGCATTCTACAATGTGAACCAGGTGGAAACACACTCCTTGTTGCTGAAGAAGGTTCGTGGCAAGGAAAAGAAAATTCGTTCCAAACTCAGAAGGTGAAACCATGGCAAGACTTCAGTTAAATTTTGCATTGTTAGTGGTCTACGTGCAGAATCCAACAGTTACTCCTTTCGTTCCCAATCCAACATAGTCACATGAATGTGGGTCGCTCATGAGTTTTTTTTTTCCAAGGCCGATGCTGAATTTGTCGAACATGTCGGTGCCGTCAAAACCTCAAAATCCTTTGATATCTCTGAGCAGGGTTGAATTTTATTTTTGATGATTGTAAAGGTCTCTAATTAGTTGCAATTGCAACACAAGAAAAAATGATGTTCAAAGGTTTGGGAAACAATATGTCCCTAGTGCCAAACAGACTGGATCGGGTTGGCATCGCTTTCAAAACAAACTGTTTGTGCGACCAAGTTACCAGTTTGAATTCAGTGTTTTTCACTTCCAAATCCAATGAATTCAGTTCGAAGTCGTTCATTTAGAACGGAGGTGGAGGCTGTGCAGTGGGGACTTCATTGTGAGTCGGCTGCTGAGAAACCCAGATAATGATATGATCGGATAACAAGACATTTACCATTTCTATCCATAAGTAATGGTTATTGTTGTTTTGCCGAATACACGGTTTTGTTTTTAAAGGTTCGATATTTTTGTGTGTACATAATTTACGTGTCATGTGTAAATATTGTTTTTTTCGTTTGACAAAATTTGATGCGGCCCCTTTCAGGAATCAATGGCCTTGCTGGAGCAGAAAAAATGCTGCAGGTGTCGGGTTTCCTTCGATTCCTTCTGATTTCTTTTTGGTTTTCATTTTGCCTCTTAACTGTGGATGGAAAATGATGTGAAAACTACCAGAAGTTCCGACCTAACCTTCAGATTTTTCAGGAGTTGAATCGCAACCCTCCAGTACTTGCGCCCGTCCGGCAAGCATTAAACCGTTGGGAGTGCTGGAGTTTTTCATGAAGTTTCAGTCGCGTGTTTGTGATATTCTTGCAACCGCAGCTACCCGAGCTTTCATTTTCCGTTTGTGCACATTCACAGGCGTTCACTCTATTTTGCGCTTAGAGCTGGTTGATTGACAGTGAGGAAACTCCATTCTTGTAACGTGCCCTTCCCCCCTTCCCCTCTTGTCATGAAACTGTTTGCCCTATTTTAATTGACCGGCGTCACGTCCTTAACTTTTATGTGTTAGATGATGTGGTGACTGTGGTGTTGCTGTTTGCTTGCTGTCACTCTTGAACTATCAAAGTGTACTTGGATGTTTGATGGCAGGATAGAAATCCTCAGAGGCTGCGGAGGCAAGAAGGAGTCTGAGGCGCTGGAACCACAAGAGCAGCCTGTTTTTTAGATTTTTTAGCATGAAACACATTATATGAAAATAAACGGCCGCGTGGGCTTTGCGTAGGTTCTGCATAGGTATTTTGTGCTGTAGTCTTCTAGTATGCTTTTGCATGCTTTTTGCCTAGGCGGGGTAGGAGTTACGTAGGCTTCGCGTAGGATTGGCGTAGGCGAAGCATAAAATACGGAGGCCCAGACAGCGACAAGGAAAAAAGTGAGCCGGTTTTCTAACTTCAAATCCTAGGTTCTAGAAGCACAGTTTCATATCAGTGAAATCATGTTGTGTACTCTCCCGAAAACTAACGTTGGGCAAAAAAAAAAGAGTTCCATGTTAGCGCACCCATGTTAAAATTCATGAGCGGGATAAGTGCCAGGTAGGTGCCATGTTGGTGCTGGTGAACTTAAAATGTGAGCGCAATACGAAGTGAAAAGTAGGGTCGCCCGAAAGTCACTAACATGGAATTTTCAAGGAAAGCGCCTTAAAAACCACGTGGGTTCCAGGTTAACCTTCAAATCACCCTTCAAGGTTGCAGATCGCTTTGTGATAACTTGTTCAAATTCCATGTTGGCTGTTTCAGGGTGCAGTTCGGGTTCAGTTTGGGCCTGTATTGGGTTCCATGTCAGTTTTTGAATGATTTTATTGAAAAAATTAGTTGCATGATTTCCTGGGGAACAAAATCCACTTGAGACCGTACCATAGGTTCATGTTAGGAGACCTAAGGAATAGCATGCAGTTCTATGTTATTTTTGGGGAGTGTGTATATATATAATATAATATATATATATATATTATACGCAAATATATAGAGTCAGAGATTCATTTGGTATCAGTCTTACTGCAATATGTGTTCACCTTGCACGTCTTTTGCTGTGACATGCTGTGAACAGATACTGATGTAAAGACAAAGAATGCTCTGGGCTACCGCAGTCCCTAGTCATCAATTTGCGTCAATTTGCACAGATTGCGCACATTTGAAACACGCATTGACCGCGATCTACTCGTAGTAGTTTCATCCAGCCAAAGAAACCAGATCAGATCAGATCGCCGCGTTACGTTCTGACAGACTGCCCAAGTCTTTGATCTTGATCGTGAGCTGGATGATCATTGCATTGCCCTCAACGACAAGTGCGGAGTGAAAGCTGGTCCGACAAGAGAGTCTAATGTGATGAGACACATCGAGGTGCTTGCAGCAAAGCTTGCATCCATTGATTCAGCTGTCTTTGGGTGTTGATTGACATACATCATCATGCAGCATCATTAATTGATTACATATTTGACGCGTGGGATCCTAAAAGGACACGTGGCCAAACTGCACCAATCTCTTTAACTTGTATTAATGACACCATATATCTAGAATCTCTCGTCAAAATTCGGAGACTCGAGACTTTGGGGTGTCTATGCGTCTATGACTTGTTCTTGAACCATGTTGTGGCTGCCAAGGCCAGCGTCTTGTCTCCGAGGTCGGACCTGTCGGTCTTGTTTCCCAGTCCACATTGCACGATTTCTCAGTGTATTGACCCATATGTGTCATATGACCCATATGTGTCATATGACCCATATGTTTTAACTTGTTTTTCTGATGTTTTCTATTTTTCCTATGTTTCAACTTGTTTTTCCTTCGTCTATCGCCGGAATTTGCAGATTCGAACTCATGGGCTCCTGAGCAGTGACGCTGAACTGGCTTCTTTGTTGGTGGGTCCGGATCCTGGTGGAAGCCAGGACTGGTTGCCCCCTTAAGATAGATGCGGCATGAGCGTGTCACAACGTGTCACAACGTTACACAACGTCACAAGCAGCAAACGTCAAAAAACAAGATCTTAAATTAATTACGAATAATAAGATATAATAAGTGGATCAGTCATGGTCAGTTCATCTCATGTTCCAAGAGTTTGCAGACTGCAAGCGTCTTATGCGATGCAAGTGATAGGTTTGCACCTCGCGACTTCTTCCTCTCCCTCCTCCCACACATTACAGAAGCAGCGAAGCAGCTGCAATGGAATTCCAATGAATTCCATTGTGATGATGTGTGATGTATTTTTGCCAAGGCGGCAGGGATGATCTCATTCAAAAGGCTCTCGACAAGGCTGGATTGCTGGCATTATTGCTGGTATTTGCCTGGAATCCGCTGAACAACTTTTGGGCAGTGTGTGTTTACCATTGAAGTGGCTATGCATCTGCAAATTTTTCGACAGGGGCAATAATATTTAACATGTGATGTTTAATGATGTTTAGGTTTTTACAGCTTTCGGGCCGTGTCGTCAACAGACGTTTTGAGACGAGGAATATGGTCAGCACTCAGCGTATCTCCGCACCAAGGCACAGAAATTCAAAAATGACGTGGTACCAAAAAGACCCAGCGATGGCGCAGTTCTTGGTGATGAAATGGGCAGTTTTCGGTCAGACGCTGCATTGAATAAGTCGTCATAGGCTAATCATATCTAATCATCATGGATGCCACTTGACGGTCTCAAAGAGGAAAATGCCAGCCACTCTGTGTTTTTTCTTGGTTGTCTTGTCATTGAATAATCTTTGCATAACTGATTGCTGCATCCAGACAATCAATGACAGTCATATTGATTCGTTATTTTATTTGATCTTGTGATTGTGTCATGCATTTACCAAGTGGTGTGCCACGAGGTGCTCCCGTGCCTGAAGCTGAAGGCCAGCACCAGAGCAAGCATCTTCCGGACATGGAAATCTCCCTATTCACCTGAGTTTGCCAAATGACTACAGGTGTACTACTATAAAATATTAACACAATGGATCGCAATAGGAGATCGTAAAGAAATCACCGGAAATCTATAGAAATCCATGTAGATGCTAGAGATGCCAGAGATGCTAAGCATTTTTATGTGAAATCTATTTGGATATAAACACTCTGCTGCGCCCAGCACTGGTTTGAAAACATGAAAACATACTCGTATCATCTCGTATCTAAAGTAAGATATGACATGCTGCATGCAACCGCTTCAACATGAACCGGCGTTGATTTTGCGACGGGTTGTCCCGGCATGCAGATGGCTCATGATTTCAAAAAAAGCCTTGACTATCTTGACTCCTGAGCCTTCCTTGTGGTCTGTCCTTCCTTCCACTCGACCTTTTGAACATCAGAACGTTCACTGCACGCCGGGCATGAAGCCAATCTATAGCCTGGCTGGGCTGCTCATGCCTTCGATTCTAGTAGCGAGAGAGAGAGAGAGAGAGAGAAATCATTACTGACCGTGAGCTAAGTCAAGCTGAAGCGAGTGTCAAAGGAACTTCTAACAGACAGTCTTCTCATCGACCCATTCTTGAACGCCAAGCTCCCTGACAGATATGGACAATGCCATCAAAATGGAAGCGCAGAGGCTGCTCATAGCTGCGGCTTTGGTGAAAGGTTCATATTATCTCGAGATATCCCGAGATATCCCCACAAATCAGATACAGTGGAAGAGACTCAGCTTGTTATAAAGACAGGCCTTTGGAAACAGCATGAAACAGCTCAAATCCCGAACTTGGATAAATTATATTATATAAATCAATTTAAATCATTGGTTGTGGATTGTAGTGGATTGTGGTATGTTGTGGTACATGCAGGTCTTGCTGACCATGTCTTGTATCATGCGTCGCAGCTTGGCAAGCTATGCGCAGGCGATTGTTGGTGCTTCGCCGCTTCCACATGATGGAGAGTTGTGCCAAGGAAATGACTGTGCAATTCTGTTTTCAGAAGCAGAAAGAGCTTGAGATCGTCACAAGCCGAAGCAGCTGAAGGATTAATCAAATTCAAACCGAGTAGTATGGCATCATGGTGTTTCCTTCCATGTTTGTTTTCAGTTGCCTGATTTTGTTATGTGTTGTTTTCGCTTGCCAGCAGCTTCTCGACTTCAGTCGATGGGACGGTATCGGTTAAAAACGATCAATCTCTGCTAATCTCTGCAGGAGAGTGAGAAAGGGCAGCTCTCAGAGGCCGGATGCGACCAGATATTTGAAGGACAGTGGATGTGATAGAGGGATATAGAGAGATACAGAGGGAATGTTGCAAAGATAGAATAGAAAGGTATTGATGATATTTGGATAGAATTGGAGTAGATGGAGACTTTGAAGATCTTTAAAGTTTTACATGCCAGCAGATTCAGTCTAAGCAATCTACAGAGCATGATACCAAGTTAAAGATGTTAGGGGCAAATGAGGGATTAGTCTAAGGCTACATTAATTGCATCTAAAATTACGACAAGCGCGGTGCGAATGAACAGCAGCTTGAAAGTACCTACTTGCATATTCCATGGTCGCATGGATATTCAGGCTTGCCGGCTGTTGCAAGTGGCAATGGCAGATGCCAGCTTTTCAGCAGCCAAATTAGGTCAAGAGCCCAAGGACGAAGGTCATCGAGAAACTGACAGGGAGCTTGTAGATAGAGGATGAGTATGAGAACATATAAATAACACATGAAAACTGATTCAGGGGAGTAAGATGAATAAGATACTCAACTGCTTGTCCTGCACCGAAGTTCTGAAACCACAGAGTTACCTGTAGTGTCGAAATCCCGGAAGTAACAGGGAAATGAACGGTTGTAAAAGGACAGGAAAATTCATGATGTATTCTGATTTGTCATATGAATTCATATGATGTCATATGTCATTATGATTTATTCATGAATGATTTGTATATCATGTCGACTCATGACGGATGCTGAGGACAAAAGATCGAGGAATTTAAGCAATTTGGTGGCTCTGCGGTAAGGGCATCAGCTCCAGTCAGCAGCCTAAACATCCGAACCAATGTTGTACCAGGAACAAACAGGGCAATAATAATGCCACACATCGCCAAACAACCTCAATAATAAAATATAGTATTAAATATATATATATAATACATATATATTATATATAATTATATATATATATAAATCTAAGAAACCTAAAGCATTCATAATGTTTTGAGAGCTCAAGTTTCTTTAGAACTGCTTTCCTCTTGAACGTGCCACAATTGACAATTCATCCAGCCCGTTGACTTGTGGACTTTGTATCTCGGGTGAGGCCCAGATACTTCTCAAACGAGCGATCTTTCAGAGAGAACTGTGGTTGGAGCCCGAGAGCCTCTCCGAGTGACGGCAACTTGAAGGACGGGCAGAAATGACATATGAAAAGTTGCGCACGCCACACGAAGGCCAACACACAAATAGCCTTCAAAAATAGCCTTCAAACCCAAGATTCAAATCCTATGGCAAAACTTTGAGTCCCATGAAATGTATGAAATCAGTAGGACGGTTTGAAAAAATCTGCTTTTCTTTGCGATAGAGCTCAGCCGCTCAGCAAAGCATCCCCTTCATACATCAACACCATGAAACAGACAAGAGATGACAACGGATAAAACAAAGATGATAAAACAAGTAAAATATGGACGAGCTCAGAAAGGAACATAGCAAACTGCAGTGATTAGTATGGCAGCACTGGTGAATTGATACAGTATGAATTGATGATTTCTATTGATTTCTTGTGTTGGTTTCAATTGGTTTCAATTGGTTTCATCATATTTCATCCAGTTTCATCTCTCTTGAGGCACTGGCGAGAAAGGCTGAGGCACGGTCGCGGGACAACCACAGAAACATGTGATGTCAAAGCGGCAACGCGGCAAGCACAGAGAGTATCAGAGAGTCATTGTAAATTTGGAAAACAGGTGAAAACAGGTTTCAATTTGTTTCAATATGTTTCAATGATTTTCTCTGTCGAGCAGAGCAAAGCCACGGATTCACTTGGAGCTGACCCGGCAGGTCAGAGCGACGGGACTTGAAAGAAGCAGTTGAGGAGATGGTGTAGCAGACCGAGCAGCCAAGGGCATGATCATGGCATCTACACTCTGACAAGTGTGATGGGAAATGTGTCACGATGTGTCACATTATGCATAATTAAGTGACATTCATTTGCATAGCCATGCAACGCTACTATGTACTAACACTACTCTAGACTCTAGACGCATCGAGACGCTACGATACGCTACATACGATTTGGATCGATTCGGTTTATTGTGGGTTGATGTTTGTTTGCTGGGTCTCCAAGACGTCCTAAAATGTCCTAAACATCCTGGCATTTTGATGCATTTTGGATCGTTTTGGCCTAGGCGCATGGAGATGATGGATCAAGAACACACAAAGCGATTCCCAGGTCTGGAGAACGACGGGAAACAACCTCGATGCAGCTGATTGACTTCAACGAGTTATACGAGTTCATGGTCATGGCATCCCGTAGCAAGTGTTTGTATATGTTGGAGATGTTTGGATACAACCCTTTGGGGCTGGATTCTGAGCTGCAATACACAATAGACCAAAGCCAGCCCAGTTTGATCTATTTTGAATCTGAATTCCGGTAACCTCAGATTGGCGACTGAAGAAAACACATGTCAAACACTGCGTTGTTCTGCAGGGCGTCCAATGAACCAGGATGATGTGGAGAAAATTGTGCAGGCCATGAACGATTTCAGACACTTTAATTTCGACATATTTCGACATAATTTAGCAGCACGTAGCAACACAGCAATTTACAAAATGGATCAAAATGGTCAGAAGGATTCAGAAGGTCAGAAAGGTTCGAGCACCTGATCGGTCTCTTTGTAAATTTGCTGGTTGCTACTCTTCTAGGCCCGCAATGTGCTGGACAGACAGGCTGGGCTTGAGATTTGCTGGCATGATATACTGTATGTAAACAATATATAATATATTATAATATACACTTATATGAATACAATACATTGCAATATGATGATATGTGCAAGTTTTTCCATGTTCTCCAAGGTTCTTGCGCGTGGTTTCCCACATCTTTCCCAGCAGGTGAGACAGGGCCGTTCTTTTCGACGCCAGCTTATCTTTGACATGGCAGAGGCTGAGGTCGGAGGTTCACAAGGGTGGACCACCTGCTACGAGTCAAAATGTAAAAACTTGGAACATTTATGCTCACTTGGGGACATGTTACATGACATGTTGGCAAAGTCATCAAAGTCGAACAGTTTCAAATTATGCTGAACGCTATTGTATCGCGCTGAACCAATACTGTATGGTAAGTTTTTTGAATCGTGTCATTTTGCTTTGAATCTGGTTTGAACATGGCATGAATCCACATCAAATCGCTGAGCCTCTTTTTCGCACCAACTGGTCAGGCTGTACTCAACAGAAATTTGCACAGCGCTGCTGGCCAACGGAAGCTCAGTCCAGAAGAAGAATACGCACGCAAGGATCCCAGCGCTTTGCAGATCCTTGCGGTTATGATTTTTGATTGAGCCATGTTGAGCTACGTTGAGCTGGTTGTCAATTCAATGAGCCACTCTAGTCGAGTACGGTCTAGTCATTAGCATTGCCGCTTTCTTAGTTGATGGAGACAAACTGTCAATCCGACGAACATTTGCCAACAGAATGACCAAGGCCCCCGGACTATGAATATATACAATGTGTAGAACATAATATTATGTATATATAACAGTACAATGTGTTTGGTTCTTTTCACTTCTCTCTTGTTGAGAATTCTTGTGCAGAGACTGTTGCAGTACCTGCGCGCAGGGTGAGTCTTAGTTTTGGATTTATTCTACTCGTGGTCACGAAATATGCAAGATGATGCGACAGTACAGGAAGCAAAAGAAAAAAAAACACTAGCAAACAGCAAACATGAACATATTTTTGGTGCTTAAATTAAATGACTTCATGGAAAACCCCAAGCAGGGACTTGAAAAGAGACCGCAAGGTTTCCAATTTGTGTGATCGGTGCCACTCAGTCTAAGAGACCTGCACACAGGGTGGACCCAGTGGAGTCAAAGAGCAAGCAGAACAGTAGAGCAATTGGGGTGTGTGCGTAAGGCGTCGTACATGCTCCGACTATGGTCCGCTGAAGAGACATGAGAGATGATGACTTTACATATCTTTACACGTCTTTATACGACGCTCCTGTATATAGGTTGTCTTGTAATATGCTTGTGGTTCTTGTGGTTGGAATGTGTAGGCCGCAGGCCTCCTGCATGTCCAAGGCTTCAATCCTGAGCGCACCTTGAGTGTGGGGAAGAAGAAAGGCTGGTGGTAAGATGGTAAGCCTCGTAAGATGAAGGAATTGAAAGAATTGCAGCTGAAAAGAACACAATGACCTTATCAGGTTGTTTGTTGAACATTGTCATTCCACCTAGGTGAACAACATTGCAATACAAGATGTACATCCATGTTGTCATGGTCGCTGAAATACATCTCCCTTGGCAAGCTCAGCCAGCAATCGTTGGGAGCAAAAAAAGATGACTGTGACGAGGGTGTGAGCGTGGGCGGAAACCCAAAGTTCAGTATCCTTGTGGACTAGATTTTTGATTTTCACATTGGCGCATTTAAATGTTTACCGAAATTGCTTACTTCATCTTACTTCTCTGAGTCTATTGGTATCAGATTCTTGAGGTAGCTTTGAGATACTTGCTTTCTCATGTTTTTCATGTGACATGTAATGTTTAGGAGTACAGTACAAGTGCACAGCTTCTCCATGGTACTTCACCACTCACCCTTTGTGGTCCTTTGTGCGCGGCTTTCAATTGTAGAGGTACTCGAGTGTCCGAACCCACTACCTCAACTTTGGCGAGGCTGAAGTGTTTTTTGGTGTGTCTCCTTTGCAAAAGGATCAGGAGTGTTTGAATACTGCTGTTGTCGGGTGAACGCAATGCCTGTAAGAATGTTTGCTCTGTCAAATACAAAGATCATCCACACACTCTCACATTTCCTTTTCGTGCCTTCACATTGCATTTGGGAGTTTCATCGGCTTCACAAATTCCAGCACAATGGCCAGTTGCTTTTTGCTGATGAAGAGGGCAAGGAGCGGTTGCATTGTGGGCGAAATCAGTGTCGCCCCATGCGTTGATGATGTTGTGTTCAGCACTGAATTTGGTCAGGCCCGGAGTGGAACACTTCATGCCTCAATGCTCCAAATAGTTTTGAAGCATGTGGGCTTAACACCCGCATGCCGCCCGGTTGTATTTTGTACTTATAGTGATGGTAGAATATGATTAAGAGTGATAGAGTCGGTTTCAATCTGAAGCATTCCAGTCTCCTGGAGTTTGAAGGATGTGAAGTTCCAGACCAAGGACTGCAAAGTGGACGGTATGATGCTCGCTGAAGGGTGATATAGTAGATTGTCAGGAAGAGGCAGAGATAAACAATCTCACAGCGCTCCCTTGTGATGAAGTGTCGAGACATGTCAGTGTAGTGAAGAATTGTCGCAGACTTCTGAGCTTGTCCTTTGGCAGAATGTGTTTCCCTTGCTGATCCTTGCTGTTGCTCCATCTATAACAGTTCCACTTAGTTCCACTTTTTTATCCGTTCTGTTGCGTTCCTTTCCATCCTTTCCTTTTATCACGTTTCCTTTCTTGGTTGTCCTTCAGCAACCCGCTAAAGAGCTAGAGGTCCTCAGCAGCAGATATATCAAATTGATTCAAATTTATTAAGATCAGAATCTGTAAGGTGTTGCGTTTTTGAAGGAATGAGCGCATAGTGGTGAAGCCAATACAATTCCATGAATCGCGACGTCACCGAAGATCACTACCTGCCCATTGTGAAAGAGTGAACCAAACTATCTTTTTGCACTGGTGACCTAAGCGTCAAGTTCATTATCGTCATTGATCACCATAATTTGCTTTGCATTTTGTCACCTTTGACTGTGAAGTCTCATCCTCATCATCCTCATTTTGTTCCTTGCCTTCTTCTGTGCAAAGATGCCCACAAAACAAGTTCTGAAATCGCATGAGCACTTGCAATCAATCTGAGCAATATGAGCAACATCTTTGGTCCAGAAAGTTTAAGTTTCAAAACAGAGAAATGCCAAGGTCTAGAGGCGTTCATTATTGTTCGGAATCGTGCAGTCGTGTTTCTGCAGGACGGAGCTGCTATGGCACATTCGTCTGTCCTGCGGGCTGTTTCGAAGCCGTTTCGGCAGATGCTCAGCGGAGAAATGTCCGAAGGTGCGGGATATGGCATGATGTGGGGGTGATTGTTGTTCTGTTATTGCAGGCATTAGGCATCCCCAATTTGACGCAATCTGCACAAGCAGAAATACACGGACCGCGAAACTGGGTCAACAAGCTATGTTTAGGGAAGGCCTGCAAAGACCATTGCTGACAGATCTGTACTCCGGCTTTGAAGATCAAGATATTTCGAAACCCACGAAGTGAACTGGGAAGCTGGAGATGGGTGAAGAACAGCATTGCCAGCAGATACCTTGTGCAATGCAGGTCGTACAAAGACCATTGAGCTCCCAGATTCGTTCGAGTCTTACACCGAAAGATGGTTGAGATATGTTGAGATGTCACAAAGATTATTGCAAGGTTCCAATTCAGCTGCATGCAAATGCATCAGTCCACGACCTATTTGGGAATATGTGGGGTGATTTTGGTCCACAAACTACATACCTCGCCATTACAGAGAGACTGCGTAGGACGCGAGCAGACTTGCTTTTCTTCTTGCGGCTACTCTACACTGGTCAGGCGGCAGATGAAACTCTTTTTTGTGTCCTGCCATTCAGACAGTGGGATATGAGAATAATGAATAATGATATTGATTTTAATATGTGTAATCCTGTTCTATTTTGGCAATCCACGTACTGTAAACAAAATGGCTAGATTGATGTCTCTATAGACGGATTTGTAATGATTTGTATAGAATAGATTATAAAATGATATAAAATGTGGATCTTGTGACATACGTGCCATATGTGACGTGTATACGTGACATTTGATTTGATCGTGTCTGCATTTCTGTCACTTGGCTTTGTTGTAGCTTCGCTCCTGCGACTGAAGGTGGACGAAGCTGATTGGGATGGCCTGACTGGAACTCCAAACTTCCATGTGCTCTGCCAAGAGATTCAAAACGTCGAACTTGTTTCTTCTCCACGGTCTTTGAACAGGTACAGGGTTGCCAAGTACATGACTACTGCTTCTCTTATTTCGGAATGTGTTCAAATTTGTTCCATGCCGTTCATCTTCAGCCGATTTCGCTGATTTTTTCAACATTCGAATCATCAATCCCAATCCTGCTTTCTTGGGCACTTGTTTCGGTCCTGCAATGAGATCAGCGTATTTGGGGGTTGCCAATCTATTTCAGAATCTGTTTGGGCGAAGGCACCATCGGATATTCGAAGGATGTTCAAAATGAATCGAAATGATAGGGCTGCACTTCTTCAAACCAGCCACATTCAATCCCTCTTGTGTCAAGCATTCAGCTGCAAGTTCAC